TTCTCGGTTTACCATACACCGTATTATGAAACGTTGAGAAACGGTCGGATACTGAATTTTTCGACCGTATGATGACCGTGATTAGACGTTTACCGTACGTCGAAATACGGTTATAATACGATGCATGGTAAAATGTCAACTTACGACAATTTACGATCGTAAACGGCGTGAAAGATAGCATAGCATGTCGTATACAGCAGTTTACGACAGTATCGGGTCCTCATAAAGCCTGTCATGGAACAACCTGGATAGGATTTCAAATGAAACAAAGAGAAAGACAAGGTGTACCCCATAACCAAACACGGTCGAAAAAAGCATAAGATTCATACAATGGAAGTCTTACTTTGCTCAACTCAGTTGACTGCTACAAAAATGGAACAGACAAAATATGACAAGTTGATGCTGCGTTTTGCACCTTTTATACAATATTGCTGTCTGCTAGTGGTTATTTTTTCATCCCACACAAGTATTTTTCTATTCATAAAAGAGAAACGTAAACGAATGACATGCGCAATTCGCTACTTTCAATGGTGCATGTAAATAAACCTTCAAGACCAGCAGCGTGCTGCGCAAAAGAAAAAACAATTCATTCCGCCGTTTTATTTTCATTGTGAATGTTTATCGAAGAAAAAACATCCATGAAAAAGAAAAAATTACTGTTTTTCATCATAGTGATGGGTTTATACCCACAAACATAATAACGAATAGTATGAAATAATGCACACAATAGGCCAAATTTCACTCGAAATGATTGCCCATAATGCACGTTGCAATTTAATGAGTAGTTGATATTCCTTAGACTGTAGAGTCTATGATGTAAGGTGTGTGTGTGTATAAAACTACCATGATGTCGACATTACATCTCAGGAATGAGAATCTGCATATGGGTACGGGTGTGGATGTGGGTGGGGGACGCAAGGTGTGACTGTGAGTAAGGCTATGGTACGGGATGAGGAATGTGGGTGTGGATGGGTATGGGTATTAGCTTGCGTGTCCGTCTGGATGTGGGATGTCGAGGTGCGATCTGGGTGTGGATGTTGGAAGACTATACCAATACCCGTACCCTCACCCATCTGGACAAATGATATTAGGAGTAGTTCCAAATAAAGCACCTTCAACAGAAATAGTTTTATTTAATCCAAGCAAAGCATGATGTGAAGTAATATATGCCAATCTATATTCACTAGCAATCAAGCTATGTTCATTTGCCTAAAATTAAACAATTATTGAATAATTACAAATTATCATTGAAATTGTTTTATTACGAAAACATTTTCAGCAACTTTTTTTTTAATATGAACTGTAGGCATTTTTTATCTGTTCTAAAAAGAGTGCATTATGGACACATAGAAAATCTTGTAAAGGATTTTTAGGAACATAATTCTATATGTCTTCGAGCTTTTTAGTAATATATCTTCTATTAAATTTGAATAGATAAATTATATAGAAAGTAAAACTTTTTCCAGACACCCCAAGTCTATTTTTTTCCTCCTTCCTTTTATGGGTACCTTAACCTTTTCTCAACTGAAAAGTATTAAATTTTTCATTTTTGTTTTTTTTCTGCTCTATATACGTCTCAAAGGAATGCTATGTTGTTTGTCGAACGGCACTCTGGTGGACAGACTTTTCGTCGAAGTAACTTTGTCGAAAAATTTTTGTCGAAGTTTTTTTGTAGAAAAGCATTTCGTCGAAAGTGGATTATATTCTTCTTATTTATCTCGCTGTTAGGAGACGAGTTCAAAAGTATCTCCTAATTAACTTTGTCCCTTTGGCGATGGTGAAAGAATTTCAGGGCACTATTGAATAGAATTACATACTTTTCGTCGAAAAGTACTTCAAGGCAAGGTTTGTAATCCGCGAGACAATTCCGGATCCTTCAATTCTTCTACAGAACTGTTCAGAGTTAAGAGGACAGTGAATTTTCTTTCACACTCACGTTTGTAGTGCCCTCACCCTCACATTTGAAGTGTCTTGCATGGCTGTTGCCCTCACAGTCGTGCTCACTCTCACTCACCCTTGCCTTCACGTCATGCCCACCCTCACATTTGGAGTACGCCTACATGGTCCTCACCCTCACCCTCACCCTCACCCTCATGCTCACCTCACCTTTACATTTGGAGTACTCTCCATAGCCAAGAAAATACTTTCGACGAAAAACAGATATCTATCTGAGTTTATTGATGAAGTGCTTTGTCGACGAAATGTTTTTCGACGAAGTGTCGCGTCGACGAAACGCTTTTCGACGAAGTGCCGTGTCGACGAAAAGTTTTCGACAATAATTTTTCGACCAACTGCCTTTCGACAAAAATTTTTCGACGAATAACATGATTACCGTCTCAAAGTATCCTTTCCTTGCTGAAAAACATCAAACTTTACAGGTCATTTCATTGTTTTTGAATAATGAGTTTTTGACAAAAGAAGTTAAGAATAGTCTGCGTTTCTCAACCACAGCACATCCGATAGAGTTGAAGCTTTCTTCTACTTATACTAGAAGGTGTTCTAGAGTACTTACTTTCTTTTGTATCAAAATATGATGTACCGTTTGTTTTAACCAGAGTTTAGAAAAACAGCTACAGCTAAAGAAAACAAACAAAAACATGCATTTCTGGAGGTATGTTCAGTATTTTGATGTTTTTATTTGCATGGAAGGCAATAAAAAGAAACCAAAAAAAAAAGTAAACACCCCAAACAATGTCTAGTACCTCAAAAAAAAAACTTCGACTCTATCAAACGTATTGCAACTGAGAAAATGGGGCAACTTTGTAACACTAGTATTTCCTAGAAAGAAACATCTGAGAATTTTGAGTCTATGACAACCCTAAAAGTTTCAAAGTTTTCTGATGAGTTGTTCTCCAAAAATGCTAGATAGCGTAAGAAGAATTAATAGAAAGTTTCAGGTCATTCCAGTCCCGGATCCGGATCCACAATTCCCTAGATTGGAAAGTGAATAACAAATAACTGTACGTTGGCTTTTTTTTCTGATAGTAGCCAATAAATAACTAAAACCTTGCTCCTCCAATTGTTCAGGTACACAGATGATGCAAGATATTGGTGAAAAAAACTACGGTCTGCACGCGACCTTGTCCAAGTCCAGAAGTTTAGCTTTTCTCGGGTCCCGATTCACAAAAACGTCGGCTTGTAGCTCGCTAGGTGTTAATCCCTTGTATTAATCTGTATACTTACAATATTAATAATTCTACCAAAATGTTATCGTTTCATATAAGGGCAAAGAGTTTTAACTAAAGCAGAATTTAATCTAAGATTATGCTCGATAATTTCTCTTCATTTTTGCGTTGGAAATTCATCAATAGAAGCTCTACAATGTCGTTTACATTCAATATCTATAATAAGAATATTATTATACTGAAAATAATTTAATATTTGTTCAACTAATTTAGATATATCGATTTCATTTTGAATTGTTTGTGTTATATTTTCATCAATATGATTTCCATTCAAAACAATATCACAACCTTGTTTAGAAAATTTACGTACAATATTCAATCCAAAACCATTTAAACTATTTATAATAAATGCAGTAAATCCTTTCATGGTAATAACAACAACAAAAAAAACAAGAAGTCGAGATAAGTAATTCTCTGTATTTATTTATACTGGAAAGATAATAAAAGAAAAAGAGACCTTGATTATATACAAATGTTCTAACTCATAAATAATTGACGTAGATAACCGCATTTGACGAAATCACAAAATTCTAAATAAAAAAAATATATTGTACATGTTTTTTCCTACATTTTTGGAATATTAATACCTTGAAATGAAATATGTTTATTTCGATTACCAAGCATTTGACGAAGATTTTCTTGTAATAAATTTTGTTTTTTGGAATTAAAACCTTGAAGTAATAAAAAAAAGTGCTTCAAATTCATCTTGTTCAATTGTACCATTAGAATTGAGATCAAATAAATGATCAAAAGTTGAACGTAATACAAAACTACTAAATTCAGCAGCATCATTAGCAAATATAGGTGTTATTAAATCAGTAAATTGTTCAAAATTTAGATTTAATAATTCTAAAATTAATTAATTTAATTTATTTAATAATATTATTCTTTACTAACTTTTTGAATGCATATGTTTTTGTACTTCATTAAATTGTTTTCCATTAATTCGTAATCGATAACTTTGACGTGGATTTACTTGAAACCAATGAAATTCAACTAAATCAATTTCTTATATTGATTATTTAAATAAATATCTATTTCAAACCTTCAACAATTCGATTTCTAATTGTTTTAACATATTTTGAATATTTATCTACTAATTCAGTTTTAACTATGGACGTCATTGTTTTTTTGGTTCAACAATGATTTCGAAACTCATTTTTCTTAGAACAATATCGATCAAAACTTGATTTTTTCTTTTATTATATTGCACGCTAAAAAAATTTTTCTCTCTCTCTTTCTGTGTATGTGCTCGATTAGACTATCGGCATTATTGAGACTTTGATATAAATACGTTATACGAGTGTAAAGAAAAGTGAAAATAAGAAAAAAAAAATAATGCTAACGGTTCAAGTAAAATATTGATCTAATATAATTGTGATGAGTAAATTACAGAGAGAGAAAGAAACAAAAACGTATTCTTATATTAATTTAATACAATGAATAGTTTCGTAATGTTTCATTGAGAAATTAAGGCTAATTAGAGGGTGTGGGAGTAGACAAGCCAAATATCCACACTGACACACACTAATCAAAAACGTTTGTCTAGCGGTTCTATTCATGGTAACGTTCGTTTTATGAGTGTCGGAGCGTATGATTACTGATTAGCCTATTTCATTCTACTCTAACGCAAGGTTTCTTCAGTAAAATTCTGAAATTATTCATAAAAAAATGCGTCACTATGAAAATAATAAGTGCATCAGCTGCGTTAAATCATTGTCTTTTATTATCCATTTGTTTTATCACTAACCATAGAGTCTTTAATAAATAACGAATAGTTTGCTCTTCTTCATTATTACTTACAATAGTTAAATCTACTAATAACCGAAATTGATAAAGATCTATTATATCTCTAATCAATTAATGAAAGACTTCGGGCGTCTTGATTAGATATGGGCAAGATGGATTAAAAACGACCGATTTCGCTCAGGTTTAGTCTTGATCAACTGATAGATAAACGGTATATTTCATATTGTTTATTGTCGAATATACGTCACAGAAATTTTTTCAAAGTAGGTGACAGCTGCAATTAGTTACATAACAGATGATCGATAAATTTTTAGACAAGATGTTTGTTCACTTTTGATCAACTAAAAAGTATTTTCGACAAGTCGAAGGATATGCGTTTGTACTCTGTCCGACTATGGACGTAGAAATTTTATTCAAAAGTAGTGAATATTCATTTTTGAAAAATCGACAACTGTTCTGTGTTGAATGGAACTCTTGAAAAGAAAACACTTGGCTAAAAGCTACAGCTTAGTTCAATATCATATTTTGTGGAGAAGTGTTCGCTCTATAAAACGGCCGTTTTCGACAGTTTTTAACATGTTCGAATCAAATCTTGAATATGTTGACAAAGATATTTTGTTGAATAAAAAAAAATGAAATCATTATATATTGTAATAAAAAATGTTAGATCAATAAAAAAAACGAAACAAAATGTGTCACACGGCAAACTTAAACAAAATCATGCAATAACAACGAAACAAATTTAATCAATCAATCATCATCATCATCACTTCCATTTTTCATACTTTGACGAATTGATGATCGAAGAAATTCATCAGCTGCATCATTCACTCCATAAGTTTTCAGATCAGTTGGTTTTTCTAATTTTTCGTTTGTTTCAATTGCACCAAATTCATATAATTTATATTCTAAATGTTCAAAACGACAATTCATACCACCAAATGCAAATGGACCAATAAGTGAATGTTTAAGTTCACCATTATTATAAATAAATATTGTTGGTAAATTTTTATCTGGATAATTTGGTATACAAACAGTTGATATACTTTTAACAAATTTTGTTTGAGGATATTTTAAAGCAAGTGAACGAAGATGATCACTAATTAATGAACATATTGGAACTCTAAAAACTAGATCAAATTAATAAAACTTAATCGTTTCTATATTATTTACCCTGATTTATAAAGATAAAGTACAACCCATATATCAGTACCAGCTTCATTAACTTCTTTAACATAATCAACTGCTGAAATTTCAATAACTTCTCCAAATCGAGAACGAGATGCCTTTTCTTGTAATTCTAATAATCGTTTTCGTCTAAACAAAAAAAAAAGAAAAATAAATTTAGACAAAACATAACACAAAAAAAATGTATACCTATATTCTTGTAAAACACGTTCATCATCTTCATCTTCAAGTTCATCTAATTCATCTAATGTTTTCTTATCTAATTGTTCAGCTATAATGAAAAATAAAATTATGATTCTAACAAAACATTATCTTATTTTATTTACCTCGACTTATTTCTAATCGTTCTTCTTCAGTTTTTATTTCTTCTTTTGGGTCAATTATATTAAAACGACGTAATTGATCATTCCATTGTGTATCAGCATTTGGATCCTAAAATAAATAAATATAATTTATATTCTATTATCAACAATAATAATCAATTTTAGAAACACACGCATACAAAACTCTATTTTGATTTACTAAAAATTAATCATGCATACCTCGAGTAATTCATTTATACTCATTCTTTCACTTACGATGAATCTTATTTTCATCAATGATATATATGGATCATTTCAGGCAAAACAAGATATACCCACTTTTCATCTGATTTTGATTCTTTGCAAGGATTAGCGTTATGAATAAGTTCTATTAGCAGAGACATATGTAGAAATATTGACTTTTTCAATTGACCATTAATTAAAAAGTAATTATCGAATAACTCTGCAATCATACAAGGAAAAAATTCGAAAACTTCACGATAAGACTCTATAATGAGATTTTCAGCAAAATCGGATCCCAACAAGCTTCCGTTTCGAATTGGCTTTGAACTTCTCATTTGGTCATCAGAGCAGGTTTTTTTTGTACTCCATCACGTTCCTAACGAAAAGTAAATCGACTTTTTTTTTCAAAAATCTAGGTATGATCAGAAAAAAACTTTGTATAGAGACTTTGTAGTCTCAAGTTGGAGTTTTTTTTCCAGTAAAATATCTGAGGTGAAAGTCGATGTCGTTTTTGACGCTAGGTTTTTTACTGATAACTTCTTTAAACAAAAGTCTTCAACGCTGATTTTTTAGAGTAACTTAACATGCCTGCAGCTTATAAAAATTAGCTCTAGGAAAGTTCATTGTCTCGAGATACACGTGTTCTAGTTTTACGAAGTCACCTCGATAATGAATTATTTAGTCCATATATATCAAGTTAACATGAGAATTCAATTGAATTTGGAATCCACAAATTAGTTTTGATAAATTGTCTTAGAAAAAAAAATTATAATAGAAGTAACACTATAAACAAGGCGAATTAATTGATTTAGACAAAAGTTCATAAAATAAAATCATATTAAACACTACTACAAGTAAAATTTTTGAATGTTTTCGCTGGATTCTTTTTTCTTTTACCCTATCACCAAAAAATCTGATCCAGAATTTACTGAGAATGATTATGCATCATATACTATCAATTATAGTATTTAGACAACAAATTTAAACTTTCAATTCCATTAGTACTTATAATCATTTACAATGCTCTAATATCATAACTGGAAGACACACATATGTGGTGCAATTTACCTATGTCTTTAAAAATCGCTCACATCAATCCTCTGCTCGTCTGAATAAATACTTTAGAAAAAAACCGACATTTTTTTAAAAATTTCCATCAATCATTCAATGTCTCTATGTCCCAAAAATAAAATATATAATATTTTACTTAGCAAAACAAATGTAGTCAACTTATTATTGTTTATATATAGAATAACAATCTAAACACATCTCTATTATCACATAGACTTTGAAATACGATTAAATCATATTAACAGTAAACAATTTTTTTGTTCTCTCATATGAATGAAACTATGTTTAATTATTAATGTTGATACAATATCGTTAGAATGTTTATTTATATCTGGACGTGAGCAGTCGACCTGATATCCCAAGATACAGCATAGGAATTGATATTATTCCAGGAAGGCGTATATAATGAATTTCATACCAAATGAAAGCTTGTTAAAAATGGGATTTATTGGTACTAAATAGTAAGAATTTTGTAAACTTTGTAATGTCAAACTTAAGAAGTTTTGAGAAATTTTATACATAAAAATGTTAAAAAATTCACATTTTCTATATGGAGGAAAGACACTAGATTTTCTCATAAAATTAACTTTTTTTCATTATTTCCACTATCTTACATGTTTCAAAATATATTCAATAGATGTAGCGTGGAAAACTGAATCGAATAAGTGTATTTGGAAACGTGTGAGGTAGTAGGAATAATGAAAATTAGCTAATTTCATGGAAGAATGTAGTGTCTTCCTTCCATATAGAAAATGTGAATTTTTTAACATTTTTATGTATAAAATTTCTTAAGTTTGACATTACAAAGTTTACAAAATTCTTACTATTTAGTACCAATAAATCCCATTTTTAACGAGCTTTCATTTGGTATAAAATTCATTATATACTCCTTCCTGGAATAATATCAATTCCTATTCTGTATCTTGGAATATCAGGTCGACTGCTCACGTCCATCTATATCAAGAGGCATCTTTATAGCATAATTATCTGAAATAATAGATTATATATGTTATGATAAATAGGCCAAACATTACAAAGATATAAACATATGAAAGATACGAGCTTTAATGAATAGAATATGTTACATACTTGCATAATTGCTTTGAGATAGTGATTTTGATAGTAAAAATTTATTGAATGATGAAAGATGAATGGATGAAAATGTTCGTATGTATGTGAGTATTAGTGACCATATTTGGAAACATTTCCGATGTCCAATAAAAACCTAGTTGAAAAACTTTTTTTAATGTGTTTATTTTGTAGAATAATTTAGTTTTTAAAATTAAAGAGGAAATATTACTATTTGAAATTCATGTTTTACAGATGAAAAATATCATAACAATTATTATAGATGTCGCCGTAAACAAAACTAACATAGATTTCCTATACTGAATGAATAGCATACCGATGCTATATTCACTCATGTTGATTTATGTTCCATCTTTTCCCATATACAAGATGAAGATAGGCAGTTGTACATGAGTCTCTAGTAATTGTATTTGACTCATTAATAAATGATCTCAATATTGGGTTTACTGTCAAAAAGCTGTGTCGATGCCACCGCTTTTGTTTGTCATACTGATGAAGGAAAAAACCTCGTCAGATAATCTATATAATTTTTCATCGACGTTTGTTTGAAGTTGATTGGAAACCAGTTAGTACCTTTTGGATGTGTCTACTCTAGTGAAGTTATGCATCGGCGAGTATTTGCCTTGTAATATTGAGCGTTTCGTGAGTTCTCCTAGAAAGTTTTTGTGTACTCTACAGATTTACATTAAATACTCATAACCTAGCTCGGTTAATGATTCAGACGTCCAGATCCGTGGATTTCCAAAGAGAACGTGTCGGAAAGTTCCGAAAAATCGTAGGACCTTGAAAGCAAAAATCTGATGGTTAGATTTGGTAGTCGTATTTTTCTAGTTATGGTCGGAACAAACTGTACTTTCTTCAGTTGGGTATATTCTGTTTATCATTGTTGCAGTATATTTGTTTGATTTGAATATAAAATTAATAACAAAAAGACGGGCATCTATATTGAAAATTTGAAAACTAGCTGCGGTGCATGATGTTCGTATTTTGTATATCAGCCATTTCCGACAAAACGGAATATAGCCATCTTTCGTTTGACTTTGATTCTTTACAAGAATTATTTTTCTGAACAAGTTCTTTTAGTATACTCATATGTAAAAATGTTAGCTCTTTCAGGTGATTATTAATTAAAATTAATTAAAAAGTAATTAGTTTCAAGGGTATTGAACCTATATTTTCGAGTGTATACAGACAGACATTGGTTAGATTTCAGACACGATACAATGTTATTATATTAAATGAATCAAAGTGAAAGGTAAATGAGCTGTGGTTTTGTATTTAGTCTAAGATTGTTGGATTATAATATCAATTATTATTATCATCATCATTTGTTTTTATTGTTTACAAGTGCAATCAACAGAAATGGTATCAACTATGTCGAAGAATCTTTCTGAATATAGATTTTCAAATCATGAAAAGGAAGTAAATAAACTTGATTATAAATGCTATCGTAAAGATATCATTTCATTGCATAACAACTGCGAAAGAAAAACAATCACACTTCCATTCTTCGTCTTTATTTTTAAATCAACGGGCAGTGACTCAATTTCATGACACGTTTGTTGACACAAAATAATAAAACGTTGTTATGTTTTTTTTTTCTTTTCGGCTACATACTCTTATTTCATAACGCACAAAAAAGAATATCAAAATACATGTCACAAGCATCTGGTAGAACTATCTGCATTACATGTGGCAAAGAAAAAGCTACATTTAGATGTGGTGGATGTTCGCAAGAATTTTGTTTTAATCATTTGGGAGATCATAAACAAGAATTGAGTAAACAATTCGATGAAGTTGAACTTAATCGTGATCTCTTTCGACAAACACTTACTGATCAAACAGATAAACCTCAAAAACATCCATTAATACAACAAATTGATACATGGGAACGTGATTCAATCAATAAAATTCGACAAAAAGCAGAAGAAGCAAGGCAAGTAGTACTTACACATATTAATGAGTCTATTAGACAAATTGAAAGCAGATTAAATCAATTGACTGATCAATTACGACAAAGTCGTGAAGAAAATGATTTTTTTGAAACAGATTTGCAGCGATGGAATGATGATTTGACTCAATTGAAAGAAGAACTTACTAAACCATCAAATATCAATCTTCGCCAAGATGCTACACCACTTATTACTAGAATTTCAATTGATGTCACATCCTGTAAATCTGGTAGGTATTCTAAATTGAAAGGACACTTAAATTACCTAATTCTACGTTTAATACTGTTATGTAGAATATTTTTCTTTTTTTTTCACTACAAATCACAAAGTTACTTGAAAATTTTTCTATCGATCAAAAAATGTAAATTATAATAGTTAGAGTCGTAGATTTATGAATTTAAGAAAAACAGTAATTGTTGAATGGTTTCGAAAGATAAAAAAAAAGGTATTCTTCAAGTTGCCAATCAGAAACCTTTGTTGAAACCGGCAACATCTGTATCGTCTTGAATAAAATATTGAAGAAATAATACAAAATAGAAAAATTTGCGAGATATTTTTCTGAGAAACAATATGTTTAAAATAGTAAATATAACAATCAACTATTGATTCATGTACAAGAACGTTTCTCAGATTATATGAATTTCGATTACAGTGCGTTTATTCGATTCAAGCAGTTAATGGATCCAGTTAAGGGAAACAATAATTATCATAACAAACAATATATATTCAATAGATTGACACCATATGAAAACAATTTATATTAGAGTCTTAAGATCAGTTGAATTTATCATAAAGTTGAAATGAAAAAAGAAGTCTTGTTGGCAAAGAGGAAAAATCTTTCACTTTCGTAAATTTTCATGCTAGTTTCATACATCCAACAAGAGATGAATAGGTCATCCGATGAGTTGAAACAAAAAGAAAAAGCTTTCTTCTTTGATAGCATACACAAAATAACTAGGCTAGGTTGTAAGTGAAAAAATATAAATGTGCTAAATTCGGAAAAATGATGAAAAGAAAAACATCTTGTAATGAATACTTTCGAACGCAAAATTATGATAAGAATAATGTGTAAAGATAAGAGAATTTTAAAACTCAGTTTATGATCAGTAGACTGAAACATGTTCTAATTCACTGTAAACCAATTAAAGCGAGTAGTTCCTATGATAAAATCTTTTGATAGATTGGTTCTTTTGCTCATACGATAGTATTGATATCAATTAAGAAGCAATAGTTATAATTTACAATTGCCATAAATATTTTTTGTCTGTTGTAGCATCCTTAAATGAACTGAAAATTGGTGTCAGTGCAAGATGGGCACAAAATGGGATCACAGTTGCTGGAGGCTATGATCGTGGCAATGGATTAAATCAATTGTCAAACCCATGGGGCTTATGTGTTGATGATGATCAGACTGTGTATGTGACTGACTATTCGAATTATCGTATTATGGAATGGAAGTGTAACTCGACTAGTGGCGAAGTAGTTGCGGGTGGAAATGGATTAGGAAATTCCACAGATCAGTTGAATGGTCCAACAGATGTGATTGTTGATAGAGAGAGCGACTGTCTTATTATTTGCGATTTTGGTAACAGGCGAGTAGTGCGATGGCCTCGTCGAAAGAGCACATTTGGAGAAACAATCATCCAAAACGTTGGTTGTTGGGGTCTAGCGATGGACAACGATAGATATCTCTATGTGGGAGACTACAATAAACATGAAGTGAGACGATTGAAACTAGGAGAGACTAGTGGAATAATAGTAGCTGGTGGAAATGGAGAAGGTGTTCGTCTTGATCAACTTAGTGGCCGTTCTTACGTTTTCGTCGACGAGGATCAGTCAGTATACGTATCGGATGAGAACAATCATCGTGTAATGAAATGGATGAAAGGTGCAAGGGAAGGTATTGTCGTCGCTGGTGGTAACAGTTCAGGAAATAGTCTAACACAATTGTCGAGTCCCAAAGGAATGACCGTTGATCAGTTGGGCACTATCTATATAGCTGACTCAAGTAATCATCGAATAATGCGTTGGCTTCAAGGAGCTAGACAGGGTAGTATTGTCGTTGGTGGAAATGGTAAAGGAATAGAAGCAAATCAACTCTGCTATCCCATAGGTTTAACATTTGATCGACAAGGCAATTTATATGTTGTCGACAATGGAAATTACCGAGTACAACGATTTAATATAGACTCAAGCTCAAATTCATGATTGTTGAAAGTGATCTTTAATGAACTATTACGTTTGTTTTGAACTTCTCCAGGTCAAGGAGTACGAACCGGTTCCAGCAGAAAACATCGGAAATCCATGGAACTTGGAAGCAGTATTCCCAATCGGAAAGTCTTCGAATTTTTTTGGTGACTCCTGGCTAAATTCCTGTTCTCTCCATTTGAAAACAGCTGCAAATGATCAGAAAAATCAGGTGACTTTTCGATCCAGAATACTATTGCCAAGTTCCATTGATTTTTTATGTTTTCTTGTCGCATGCGATGATTTTTGCGCATCTATTCGGCAGATTCCAGTGAAATCCGATTGATTCCGAAGTCCAGAATCATCAACATGAGGATTCAGACTTTCGCATCCGCGGATTTCTAACAGAAACTCGTCGAAAAGCAGTAGGAACTTGAAAGTAAGAATCCAATGATCGAATCCGGTGGCCGCATTTTTCTAGTTATGGTCGGAACCGATCGTACTTCAATCACTTGGATATATTATATTTGGGATTGTTGTAGTACATTTGTTTGATTTAAATATAAAATTAATAACAAAAACACAGGCTTATATATTGAAAATTTGAGAACTAGTACTGTTATTCTATCTTTATATTTTGTAGATACAGGATTGATATAAACTTTTCATCTTTAGAAATTCAACCAACAGTAAGCAAGACATGTATTGTGAACAACACAATATCAGCAATGAGAAATGAATAATAAATGATTCCATAAAATTCAGTAATTTAATAACAAATAAATACATAGTGCAGATTATCGGAGAAAAATTAAAGAAATATTTTCTAAGCTGATGTCTATCTTTCATTTAAAAATATATAAAATAAAATAAATACATGCCTTCATAATATTGAATCCAAATTGATTTGTTAGAAAAATACATAATCTTCTATTGCTTCATTGATTTCAACAATTCATCTGAAAAACTATATTCCAATGTAGAAAATTGTTTTAATCTAACTTAAAAAAAAAACGAAATTAAACGATTTGTCATTTATACATTTAAACAAATATTTAATCGTATTTGAGGAATGAGCAGTTGAAAATGAAAAGGCGTTTATCTCTCTTTCAAATCGCCATTCATTAAAAACGTATGAATGAATTATTGGAAAAGAATAGAAGTAAGTATTCATACTTATAAATTTTCTCTAGTAATCGTTTGAGTAATTTGATTACTCGCTGGATGAATAAAATGTACTAGGAAAGATTTTAAATTCTTTGAAATGATCACGATGTAAACAGAAAGAATGTTTCCAAACATATTTGAATTATTTCCAATTTTATTATTTTCTTCTGTTTGAACATAGCTGTATTGAGTATTCTCGTCCTTTCTTTCATAAAATATAACTAAGTTGAGGATGATGTTACATATAGATTAAATCATTTAACTCAACATGATAAGTATCTTTATGTATTCGGATAGAAATATTAGTTAATGAATGTTCTTAGACAATACTAGATCAATATTTTACATTGTGACAGTAAGAAAAATTCCAAGATTTATCACAAATCTGGATCAGCTCAAAATAACAGAACATAAGTGAATTCAAAAGTATTAAATGATTACTAAGATTAAAATTGATAATGGCTGAACATGGTTTTTTTCTTGATAAAAAGTTAATTAGCTATTTGGATCAGGGAGTAAGTGAGACACAATCCTACAAATATACTTTCATTTATTATGATTGATATCATATGCATACGATCTCGTTTCTATTGTATATTGACGTTCCTAATATACATCTAACTTGAACAGTGCAATCGATTTAGATCAGAAAACAAATACATATTGATGAGATCGTGACAGATAGAAGAATTAGGAGATAAAGATATTAAATTCAATTGGATTCGAATCGTTAGATAAGAATGCGAGTCTATTTATATTCAAGAACTTTTATTACGATAATTTCACATTCTCTACAAAAGATAAATGGATGGCTTTTTAATTTAAACAAAGAAAAATTAACTTAAATTTTAAACAGAAAAAAGTGGCAGTAGAGAAATCTATTCGAAGAAAAAACGAAAACATGATTAAAAATAGTTCTTATTCCAAAAATTGTTTTATTCAAGTTTTTTTAAACTATAATCAATGAAATTGACACCAATTGAATCAAGAAGATTACCATTCACCATCAATAAAAGAATCTTTTTTTTGTTTCGTTAATATCTTTGAAAGTTCGTCGATATTGATAAATGAATAAAATATGGTTTTTGTTGAAATCAAATGGGGTAGGTGCAATAGTGCTGATATATATTTGAAATTTGACTACAAATTAAAGTGATAGTTATGAGTGAGAGTCATATTATTTCAATTCGATTATTTCAATGAAGACAAACCTTTTTTTTTTAAACTTGAGCAAAGGTTTTCGGAAGTCGACGAATCTCTAATTGATTTTTCAAAATTCTTGAGTTTGATTTTTACGGTCAGTAGAAGTCTATTTCCAGCAATTTACTCATGTTTTGTAACATACAGCCACTTGTTCGCAATAGACTTTCGCTGACCGAAAAAAATCGAACTTAAGAATTTCGAAAAACTGACTACAGATTCGAATTCGTCCATGTCGAAAACGTTTACTCAAGTTTCATTTAAAACAATAGGCTTGTTTTCATTGCAAAAAAATCGAATTGAAATAGTATGACTCTCACTCATAGCTATCACCTTAATTTCCAGTGTAATTTCAAATATGTATCAGCACCTTCAGTACCAAAAGTTGCTGAGATTTCCTAATTTGTACTTTTCCACTCGATTGAGATCCTAAAAAGAAAAAGATTAGAAAATAAATTCATTATTGATTTCTGAAGGAATCTTGCGGCAAAAAGTACAATCGAATAGACTTTCATAGTTTTAGATTTTAATGAGGTAATTTATCATTAAATAATCTTTCGTATTACTCAAATATATCAGATTTGTGCAGATAAAAGTTTCAAAAGATTTGTATGACTTACTCTTAAAATAGCGCAATCTTTGCAAGATTAAAATATGAAACACGATGTAGCTGCTGTTACTAATCACAAGGAGATTGTTTTATTCTATGTGTCTTGGGATACATATTATTACCCTTCTTTTAATCCTTCAGAAATGCATCAAGAAACTAGTTAATATATTGTAATGAACCTTAAATGATGTACGTGCTGCGATCGTATATCAACAAAGTTTGTCACGATCTGTAGGGGGAAGTGCACAAATTGCTTCTGTATATACTTCAATAGTCTTTTTAGTTCGTGTTTCACAAAATAATTGTGTCAATTGAATGTGTAGAACCTTCACATTCTTCTATTAATTATCAAAGATCGAAAACGAACCGAACTCGAACCAGTAAAACTCGGTTTCATTCGGCCTCTGTTAATTATTACGACAACCATTTCATAATTCCTTTGTCTGAATTATGTTTCACATAATAAATAGGACCTGTTGAATAAGAATTTTTTCAAATTTCATTATCCTATGAGACGAAGACAAAAGCACTAGAATATTTATCAAAGGTTTGATGTATTTTGTTTTTCAATAATATAAAGAATCATTTCATTCACATGTTTCTTTTTTTTTCGTTTGATAGAATCAATTAGGATGTTTTTTCATCATACGTCATATTTGTTTTAACTCGATATTTTTCTCCAATAATAAACTTTGTACATAGCTGTTGTCACGCATATGAAGAGAAACATCATTTTCATTAGATTCGTATCTTTATCATTAAACATACCTGAAGTGATTCATCAATAGCTATTTTTTTCATATTATCTATATTACAACATTATTTCTTTCAATGATGAAACTATATAAGAGAAATATAGTTCATGTATGTAAACAATAAGAACTTAAAAATTGCTTGGATGGACTAAATTAGTATCGTCGATTTCTCATAATATTAAAGTAAACTTGGAAGAGAAATATTTCATAGATTAATTCTTGATTTTTTTTCCAAAAACAAAAACTAATTGATTTAGACAAACGTTGTTTGTTGTGAACATAGAACATTCAATATCGTTTTATTATTATCTAATATACTATAGTAAACATTCAACATGTAGTTAAAGTAAATTTTGTAGAATCGTTTTTATAGAAGGTGATATTTCTATGAGAAAAACAGCTTCGAGTACGATGAGTTGAGCCGATGTTATTATTATTATTATTATTATTATCTGATCTTATAGATCTCGTGGATATGTAAACAAATCGAATTCAAAATAATAAACGGTGAAACGTCTTTCTCATAAAAAATAATCCAATGGTGAATACAGAAGACGGAATATTGCACCTGACCTGTATCCTCCTTTGAATGATAGATTGTTAAAAAAATTGCATAATGATTCATCACCGTCGTACAAAATATATTGAAGTAACTATAGGAAAAAAAATATTTACATATTAGAAATCACTCATACTTGTAATATCGTAATGATGCGTCTTCTTATATTTTTCTTCATCGTTTTTATTTGCGAGAAAGGAAGCGGAACGATATATCAATGTAATACAAATGCTTCATGTGGATGTTCAACTTCATCTACTCTTTTAACACGTATTGTTGGTGGTGAAACTGCAGTTCAACAATCTTGGTCATGGATTGTTTCTGTTCGTTCTCATGGAGAACACATATGTGGAGGATCAGTTCTTTCACCATCATACATTATTACTGCTGCTCATTGTATTAAAGATAAACATAATTTTAAAAGCATTACTATTCTTGCTGGATCACTAACTTTAAAACCTTCATCAAATGATTTATCTCAAATTCGTTCAATTACTAAAGTCTACAAACATCCTGATTATAATTCTCATTCGTTGATAAATGATTTGGTTCTTCTTCGTTTGTCTAGTCCATTAAATATGATATATGGAAATATCAAAGCAATCTGTTTACCATCTGGTACTGTTCCTCAACCACCAGACAATATGGATATGATAGCTATTGGCTGGGGTACAACATCAACGTGGACAGATGAATTTTCTTCAACCCTTCGTCAAGTTACAGTACAATCCATAGCAAGTACGTCTAATAGATGTCAACGGGTTATTTCTGATAGTAAACTACAATTTTGTGCTGGAGTACGAACTGGTAACAAAGGTAATACATTAATATTCAACTTATCCACTTATGTCAATTATTTTTTCTGTCTACAGATACTTGTAAAGGTGATGGTGGTGGACCACTAATGGCATTTGTTAATAACATTTGGCAACTTTATGGTGTCACATCCTATGGATATGGATGTGCATCACCTGACTATCCAGGAGTCTATACTCGTGTTAGTTATTACATAAAATGGATCAAATCTATCATGCCATTCGACGAAATTACGACTAGCACAAGCAACAATCCAATGACAACTATTACTACCACAAGCAAAAACCCAATGGAAACAACGACAATCACGAGCGAAGAATCAATGACAACTACTACAAGCGAAAGACCGATAACAACTATAACTTCCACAAGCGAAAAACCACTGGAAACTACGGCAACTACGAGCGAAGAATCAATGACTACTATAACTACTACAATAAGTGGAAAACCAATGGAAACTACAACTATCACTAGTAAAGAACCAATGACAGATATACCTATTACCAGTGGAAAACCAACGGAAACTACAACTATCAGAAGTGAAGAACCAATGACAACTATAACCACCTCAAGCGAAGAACCAATGATAACTACGGCTAGTACAAGCAAACAACCAATGACAGAATTACTATTACAAATATCGAATAGTGATAAATATTTAAGAATTCAATTATTGCTTTTTATATTTCTTCTGCTAATCATAATCAGTATATTGACATTGCTCTTCTTCTTCTTTTATTATAAACCCATTAAATGGCCAATAGAACATTATAATCGGACATGAATATAACATTTGATACGAGTGAAATAAAAAGAATATTTTCTTATTATATTTATTTTCTATTGTAATTTTAAATTCTATATCTCTATTACAATAAAAACAACAAGACGTAGCTCACAGCAAAATACATCAATCTATAGAAGATTTGCTTTCTGTTTGAAAAAAAAATGCTTAACTAAGAAGATGGTAAACATATATAACGATATGACTCGCACTCAATATTTTATTATTAATAAATATCAAAGAATAATTAAATAATTTCAATTTTCCACCTGAGTATTGTTCTATGATTAATAAAAACAAACATGTCATTTTATCATACAGACTGCAAAAATCTAAAAGGAGCGTTGTCATTAAAAATATGAAACTACATTATATTCTGCTATGATGAAGAGTATGATTTATACTAGATTCATATCAATGAACCATAAAAAAAAACAATCTATGATGTTAATTAATATTTTGCTTAAAATATTTTCTTTATTGACATAATGACGAAATTGTCTATAGCTCGTAGCATTCAATGATTACTCTATTAAAAAAACTCATAACTACATTATTTCTTGTGTATTTTTGCCTCATTGAAGACTGTATTATATGGAGTATTTTTCATATACTTTTAGAGATGCTCATGATATCCTATATAAATTTAAAGCACTTAAGAAATAGTTACGAGAGAGATATAGCATAGTTAAATTTCAAATTCTATGATTTGAATCATGGAAAACTTGTTTTGAAGCAAAATCCATGTTATGGTCACATATATGGATCGATTAATACTAAATCTTCTTCAAAAATTCGCTCGTACTTCTCATTACATGAGTTTTTTTTACAAAAAATTATTTCTAATTAAACTTATGTTATTCTATTCAATTTTTTATATTGATTTTTGATATGGCATAGATTTTTTATGGTTAAAATGATTGAATATAAGTACATTCAATGTATCTTATTAGATAAAAGAACATGAGAGTGTCTCGATATTATTCGTAAAAATGAGGAATAATTCAATTCATGTTAGATAAATTTATTTTCAATATTTAGAATAAATATCGTCATTGGACTGAATTTTTTATCTTTCAATTAATCATAAAATACTTATTCTATACAACTTGGAAATCATATGATGTACAGCTAAAGAGATTTATTTGAAATCTAACATCATTCGATGAGAGCAGTTGATCAATGATTGATAGAAATCTTTGTACCTTTCTTTTTTTGTAATTAAACATCAACCGCTGGCATAGCGCACATTATAAAGAACGATTTATCGGTGGTTTTTGTCCTGTATGAATCGCACAGTATTGCATTTTAACTTTTCAACTGACCTTCGTTGATTTTCAGGAGTTTTCTATGAAGTTATATAACATAAGATGTAAAAGTCTTGGCTAAAAAGTCAAACTCTTCTAGAACATATTGCCAATTTCTACACGAATCAAATTGGTATTTATTAGAAACAGTTATACCTGAACTAGAAATGTTATGTTACACATATTTTTCCAGATCGAATTAAAGAAGGAGAAAAAGTAAAAAATTCAACGTGTCTTGAAAAGTTTCTATTTCTCGATTACTTTGTGCTACATGAACCAAATTCAAAGCAAAATATACAGGCAAAAATAGCGTATTAAAAATTGTACCCGTATCAGCTTTGACAACATTTTTGGGATGTATTCTTGACTGTCTAACCCAAAAAAATTGGAAATAAAAGTTTTTTTTTTAAATAGTATCTTTTGTAAGGATGCTCAGTATCAAAGGACCTCGGTCACAATCTTCAGAAACCATGCATGAATTGAATTTATTATGCGTTATTTGTTTGAAATATATCAGATCATGAAAGCTTAACAAGAAAGAAACTATATTTTGATACGAAAATCAAAAATAAACTTAACTTCCGATACAATATTGGAAAGAACACTCTTTACGCTACAAAAACCATTATTAAACATATGTTTTCAGTTCATTTCTGATATAACAAAAGTTAACAGAAAATAGAAAATGACGATGTGTGATGACCAAACCAAATCACAAGAACTTTTTTAGAGGTTTTTGGTCTTTAATTGTTCCTTCTTCTTAGATTCGTTCTGAAAACTACGTGCGGCACATAATTTCTAGTTCAGATATTGTTCATAACTTTCTCTTAATATGTAAAGTTATAACAAACAATAAACAGTATTTTTACTGCATTAGCTCGAAATGATGAACGGGAGAGAGAGAGAGAAAAAAATGCAGAGAAAAAAATAACGGTAGATAAAACCATTTGAAGAAAAAACACAAGCTCAGTTAAAAGAAGTTCTTATTTCAAAAATTGTTGTATTCAAATTTTCATAAACTATAATCAGTAATATTGACCTCAAATCAGTCAAGACGTTACTATTTAACATCAATAAAAAATCTTTTTTTTTTCGTTAACATCTTTGAAAGTTCATCGATATTGATAAATGAATAAAATTTTTTCTTGAAATCCATTTAAAAAAAAGCTAAGAAAATACCTTATTGATTTCTGAAGAAATTCTGTGATAAAATAGCAATCGAATGGACTTTTAAACAACATTAATGAATTAATTCATTATTGAATGACTCGAATTATTCACATCTATCGAACTTATTTAGATAAAAACTTCAAAAGATTTGGCTGCGTCGAAGAGAGTCGACCTATGAGTTATCGACCTTTGAATAACCCTAGCCCATGGTTTTTTTCCTAAAAACCAGCCCAAATGTGAACCACTCATCTAATTCCTTTACATAAATTTTTAACACATTAACCCTTTGACCGCTGACATACGAGAGAGATAAAAGTATTTTTTTTATTCACACTTCTTTTTTACGGCACAATTCTAGAACATACCATTACGAAATGCTATATCACAAACTTCAGCTGTCTGATGTTTATGTCTATGCAAGCGAATGTAAAAAACATGTACTATGATTGATTGAGTTAGTTTATGACATTAACAAAATTCATGACGCATATATGCATTGGCGACTGCCAAAGGGTTAATGAATAAACATATTTTGAGTACTGGTAGTTGATGATGTATAAAGAAATGTTCGGTAATGTATTCGACAATTTGGAAAAATCTACAATTCTCTCGAATTCATCAGCATTTTCTGATTTTCCGGTCAGATAACAAAAATGATTGTTGTCTCAAAAGAACTTTCATTCGTTCGAATGTATACTGCTTTGCATGTGATGATGAACCAGATATGTAATCTAGGAATAGAATTTGGATTAGAGAAAAGTAATTGATGATGATGTTGTCACTGTTGATGAACAAAAAGAACTAAACAAGAATATTTTATTGAATACAAAGAAAGTGTTTTTTTAAGATAGAGACAATTTTATCATTTTCTTTGTTTTGTTTTATATATTTGCTGTTCATTGCATGTTTTAGCTAATGAAAGAATTATATATAATATTTGAAAATGAAATTTAGGGAAACTACACAACATTTTTTGAAATTTTTATATTTTATTAATAATCAGAGACCGAAAACGAACGGAACGAAATTCAAACTACTGTAGTAAAACTTGATTCGATTCGATCTCTACTAATTATTATAATAACTATTTCATAATGCTTTTGTCCCAATTATGTTTCATATGACACATAGGTGTTGTGGAATAAGAATTTTTCAAATTTCATTATCTCACTATACGAAGAAACAAAAGAAAAAAGTCGTTTGTATTCTGATTTATAATTTTTTTGTTCAGCGTTTATCGATGTCCAGTTAGTTTTGTCTCAACGACTGATAACAAATAACATATTCTATTGAGGAAAAAATAAAAATAAACATGAAAATTTATCATCAATGAACTAGTATATTTATCGAAAGTTTGATTCATTTTATGTTTTTAATAATATAAAACAGTTGTTTCGTTTACATGTTTGATTTCTTTCTTTTAATAATATTGATTAAGTCCTTTTCTCGTTATATGTCATATTTGTTTTATTTCGATATTTTTCTCTCATAATATATTTCTCCATAACTGTTGTTTACTTATGTGAAGAGAAATATCGTTTTCATTAGATTCGTATCTTCATCATTAAACACATGTGAAGTACTTCATCAATAGTTGTTTCTTTTCCTATTATCTTTATTACATGGTTATTTCTCTTAATGATAAAATTATTCAAGACAAATATGCTTTATATATATATAAACAAAAATTTAAAAATTGTTTCAACTGATCAAAATAGTATAGTCTAGATATTGTAATATCAAACTGAACTTGGAAGAAAAATATTCTAAAGATTATTTCTCGTTTTTCCTAAAAATATTTTGTAGTAAACATGCAAAATGTTGCTCGAATGGATTTTGTAGCAATCTTTTCATTTGATGTGAAGTTTCTACGAGAAAAGCTTTGAGTAGAAATATTTGTGCCAATATTATTCTTTCAAGTTATATTTCTCATTGATAGGTAAACAAGTCAAGCTCAGAATAGTAAACGGTGAGACCTCTGTCTCATTATAAATAATCCAATTATGAATACAGAGAATGGAATATTGCACCTAACCTTTATCCTACTTGGAGTGTTAGACAGTTGAAAAAATGCATAATGATTCATCTTCGTCATAGGAAGTATATTAATGTCACTCTAGGGAAGAAACACCTACAAATTATCAATCATTCATATCTGTAATATCATAATGATGCGTCTTCTTATATTTTTCTTCGTCGTTTTTATTTGTGAGAAAGGAACCGGAACAATATATCAATGTAATACAAATGCTTCATGTGGATGTTCAACTTCATCTACTCTTGTAACACGTATTATTGGTGGTGAAATTGCAGTTCGACAATCTTGGTCATGGATTGTTTCTGTTCGTTCTCATGGAGAACACATATGTGGAGGATCAATTCTTTCACCATCATTCATTATTACTGCTGCTCATTGTTTCAAATACACAACTGATTTAGCAAGTATCACTATTCTTGCTGGATCACTAACTGTAAAATCTTCATTGAATGATTCATCTCAAGTTCGTTCAATTGCTCAACTCTACAAACATCCTAATTATGACTCTTCTTTATTGACAAATGATTTGGCTCTTCTTCGACTGTCTAGTCCATTGAATATGACACACAGAAATATCAAACCAATCTGTTTACCATCTGGTACTGTTCCTCAACCATCAAACAATATTAGTATGATTGCTATAGGTTGGGGTACAGCATCAACGTGGCCAATAACACTTTCTCCAACTCTTCGTCAAGTTACGGTACAATCCATAGAAAATACATACAGTGGATGTCAATACCTTATTTCTGATAGTAAACTACAATTTTGTGCTGGAGTACGAACAGGTAGCAAAGGTAATACATCAATATTAAATATATTGACTAATTTCAATAATTTTTTCTGTCTGCAGATACTTGTTATGGTGATAGTGGTGGACCATTAATGGCATTTGTTAATAACATTTGGCAACTTTGTGGTATTACATCCTATGGATATGAATGTGCATTACCTGACTATCCAGGAGTCTATACTCGTGTTAGTTATTACATAAAATGGATGAAATCTATCATGCCATCCAACGAGATTACAACAACTACATCTAGCACAACCAAAAAACCAATAACAACGTTGACTACCACAAAAAAAAACCCAATGAGAACTACGACTACCACAAACAAAGCACCAACGAGAACTACAACTCGCACGAGCAAGCAACCAATGGCAGTTAAAGTGGCAGAACTAGTATTTCAAACATCAAATAATGGTAAACATTCAACAATTGAACCATTGTTTTTTATAGTTTTTCTGTCAATAATAACTAGTATATATCCATTTCTTTTGTTAGTTTTTCTCTAATCATTTTACTGTAATATCATTTACTGAACAATAAAACATTATGATCTGGCATGAATACAACATTTTATGTTAACGAAATAAAAAGAATATTTTCTTATTATATATGTTCGAACTGTAGTTTCAAATTTTGTCTCTATGTCACAATAGAAACAACAAGAAGCAACTCGTATCTAAACATATCAATGTACAGAGAATTTGGTTTCTGTTTGAGAAAGTGCTTAACGAAGACATGGTAAATATATATAACGAAATGAGGGTGTGGATGTGGATGTGGCGTGTGCTTCTGTTCAACCACACTCACCTACATCCCACATCCTAATTTTTCTTCAATTGTAAGGTTGCTACTTTTTTATTTCTTCAGGATACCAAGCATTGATATGAATTACATGTCGATAAATTACACAAAAATTTTTCGGAGGTTTTTAAAGTCGAAGTCGGAATCGAAATCGAAGAAGAAATTTTTCCAGAGTCGAAGTTCAAATCGGATTTGAAAAAAAATTTTTGCAGGCTCGGAGTTGAAATCGGAATTAAAATGGATGACTCCGCTGGTCATTAACACTCGCACACCCATGCCTACACACTCGAAGAATGCGTTGGCCTGAAGGTGCTAGACAGAGTAGTATTGTTGTTGGTGGAAATGGTAATAGGAGAGCAAGCAAATAAACTCTTCAGTCCTTTAGATTTAACATTCGATCGACAAAGCAATTTATATGTTGTCGACAATGGAGATTACCGAGTACAACGATTCAATATAGATTCTAGTTCAAATTTTTAATTGCTAAGAGTGGACTTTCATGCACTATTACTTTTGTTGTGAAGTCCTTTTTTTGTTAAACTATCTTTCCAATAAGAAATTTTTGATTAATATATATTTATTGTTGTTTGAAAGTAGAGTTTTATTTAATGAAATTTAGATTGCATTTTCAAAATGTTTTTCCGTTCGCATCCATTGAAGAAACTCGCTAATACTCTCATTGTTTATTTTATACAATGATTGTGATAACATTATTTAAAATAACTTACGTAGAACAGCTCTATTCATTTATTGAATCGATGTCTTTAATTTACGTTCGCGTTTTTGTTCGATCGACCATCTTAATTGTTTAGATCATGTCAAGAAAATTATAATCAAAGACCGATGAATTAAGCCATATTTTTAATTTCAATCACAATAAATCATTATTGAGACAATCTATAACATATAACCAAAAAGTTGATAAGAAATAACTTGATTTAGCAATTTAACATGCAATAATATTTTCGGTTTTATTAATTTTGATGTGGACTATCGCCATTAAAATCTGCAAATTAAACTATACACTTATCCTTGCAATATTGCTGTAAAGTTTTAAAAAAATCTAATCACTGTCTGTTCACTATGAATGCAAAGCGATTCACATGAAAAGCAAAACAATTAGCTTTCAATATGGAGTTATGAAGTGTTATACCGTTTCCTTTTTTCCATATTGAAATGATAAAAATTTGATTACAAAAAATACATACCGTAGAAATAAGTAAGTGTGAGGTTATTTTCATCATTTACACAAAGAAATACGTTTATATATTTGATAGACAGAAAATTTTATCACAATGAAAATGTAAGGAGAAAGTGATAATCTGATGTCTTATTTTTCTAAAGCTGAATTGACAACTCTGTTATGAAACGATTTCTCGTTATATATTATTTTATTTGATAAGATTAAAATTGATTTTTTTTTCTTTTAATACATTGATGCAATGAAGTTATATTTTAAAATGATATTAATCTTTTCAGAAATAACTTTTTCGATAAATCACAATACCAAAAATAAATCATCAAAAACAAAAAATTATATTTTCCATTGGCACATGCTGTATAGCAAAGTAGTGGGAAAAAATTACAAATGACAATATTTTCTATGAAGACCTGCAAGGTGTCAATAACAAAAGAAGATTTTGATCGCAATAGAAAGAAGAAATTAATACAGACAACAGATGACTTATGTAGTATATTGAAAAACTGATTCATTAATAGAGTCGTGTGGAATCAAACTTTTTGACTTTGACTTCAGGAATTTTCTTTACCGTAAGTCTGGTTACAAAAAGAAAACTTTTTTTTCATCTCAAATTTCGGCTTCGACTCCAAGAAAGCGTTAAAGCTTTCCTGTTGTAATATAGTAATATCTAAACTATTCTGTTTTCTTTTTTCTACTATTTGTCTATATGAATATTTTTTTAATGTGGTTTTTCAATCTTGAAACTTATGTATAAAGGTAAAAGGTAAAATATTATTATAGAATATTTGTTCGTTACTTATTTGATATGGACTCGAAAAAAATAAAAGTCTTCTCAATTGAACTTCGAAAATATTTTCCTCGTAGCTCCGATTTGATCTCAGGCTTGGAATCAGTCCGTTTAAATGTACCAATTAATCAACTAGTTCTTTTGAGAAAATGTTTGTTAGTGAGAAAGAACTCTTTCAAAATTTTTCATACAATAACTTATATTTAACAACATCTATACTTCGTTTTGTCTGATTTTTTTAAAAGAAAGATATAATTTCTTTACAAGAATGGATAAGTTTAATATTTTCTTATTTGAAAACATTATTTAACACAATTGAAAGACTTCTAAATTCATATAAAGCTAGTACTATCGATGAAAAAACAAAAAGAGATACAAAGTTCAGTTTTTATACTAAGCTTCATATTCTTAGATTTCTTGATAACTAGATATTGTCACAGTTGTATGAGGTAGCAATTGGAAACATTTGCGTTATATATTTTTGAATTGTCAAATAGAACTCGTCGTGTACAACATTTTCCGACCACATGTGGGATCAACCCTACGAGTTTCAAATAAAAACGAGCAAAATATAGTGGCTTCAGCGCTCGAAAAGTTGATAAAAAACCGGTGAAAACCGGATCGGTAATCCAGCTGATCTGATTTCAAGGCTGCTCGGTCTCAATCAGAGTCGAAAGCGGTTTCGGTGTCCAATGCAAGGCTCTATTCGTTTAACATGTTATAAAAATTAATAAAATCTTTAGAGAAGAGAAACAGATTGAATCTTCGAACTCATTTTAGGTTTCCTAGAGTAAATTTTTTCCGACGATGCTATGCTTAAATAATGAACCGGATGATGAAATCATATGAACAAGAAAACATTATCTTATTTGATTACGTCTCAAATCTTTTCTTATAAAAATGATGATCAATCTAGGTATTCAAAAAAAAGAAAGCTTTCTTTTTTTTATTAATTAATTTAAACAATAAATCGAAATATTAAAAAAATTCGTTTTACAAAACAGTATTTTCTATAAAATTTATAAGAGAAAAATTTGGATGATATTTAAGCCAAAAGGTTATCAATCAAAATTAAACATTGATTTATTTTTTTTTTCATATTTTATTTCATCTTTATGATATATTTTTAGTCATACATATACCATTCGAGATTATATGAATAAATATGAAAAAGTGTAGTTCATAATTTAATGATTAATCAATACAATAAGTTATGTCGGTTAGGCATTTTTGTTTCTAAAATTAGAAGAAATTTTTATAAATTTTAAATGTCTCTTTCAAAAAAACAAAAAATCTTTTTCATACCTTTATTGTCTTCGATTTTCCAGTTTTGCTTTGCAAATTTTTTCGTTTATTTGTTGTTTCTTGATCTGTAACGCAATCATCATTGATATTTACTGGAAATGAACAGTGTGGACAAGCAACAGTTTTCTCTATTGAAGCATCAGCAGTGTCTTCTATTAATTAAACTAAATGATTTTCCTATGAATATTCAAACTTTTCTTTTTGTTACCTTTCAAAATTGTGGAATACACTGTTGTATCCCATTCAGTTTTATATGATGTACCATCTGCACTTAGTGTACATAATGTAAATGCCAATTGTGATTTACCAAGCTGAAATTTTTGTATTAATTTTTTTGGTGTTAATTTCAACTGTTTTTCTGGAGTTTGTTCATCGATTTTTCCTAAAGCATCTTGGAACGGATGGAATGGTTTAAGCGGTTGAAGTGATTTTAATGCATCTTGTTTTGCTTTAATTAATACTAAATAAAGTCTATTTTTAACATAATATGATATATATAGAAATGAGATATGTATATATGTACTTCATGGTCCCCGAAGAATCAGCGTTGATGTCTTCAAAAATAGGATTACAATCGGGTGTTTCAGATGAATCATTGTTAGCTTGAAATTGATATGGCATAGTATATATATCACCATTTTCAGTAGGAATTGTGAGCCAATCAACTCGAATCCTACCACGAATACCGGGCGGCACCTACAATGTTGATTGTTTACAAAGAATAATAATAATAAAGAATGAGAAGAGATTGGTATTACTCTGAGTGTAATGAAATGATTGCCACGACGATCGGCTACATATCTTGGTTTTCGTGTTTTACCATTTTGAGCAAAATAATCACTTTTATACCGTGGTCGAAATGTTTCTTCTAACTCATTAACCAATTCAATTTTATGAGATGATTGCAATAAGGTTTTTGGTATGCCTACATCAACGGATGATGAAAGGAAAATTGGCTTGTTTGATTTCACCTTTTTATTTTTGCCTATTTCAATATCATAAAACAATATTAATTTAAGAAGAAAAAGACTTCATTTACCAATATTATAAACTGATAAATCATCGATGACGAGCAAATCCTGATAACTATCAAAAATTGGATCTGAAAAGAAATAATTAATTAGTAAGTTTGAATTTTTGATTTTATTACTTAATGCAAGTATTGGTCCAAAATATTTATCAAATTCATTAGGTTCAACCGGTTGATTCATTGACTCTATATATATAAAAAATCAAAATTTGATCCAATATTTGTTCTCATTCTACCGGCTAGATCCTCCGATTCGCAAGTGCCAACAATATTCTCGACCAATATTGAATCAGAATTTAATAAATCCAAAAATGCATCATCGAGCACTGGATTGTATAGAATGGGATCACCATAAGAATTATCACTATGAACTTCTACAGATAAATCATCAGATCCCAAATACGAAAAACTATTGAATAAGGTCATGATTGCTTGATATTTTGGTTTGTTTTTTACTGTTAGAAGCAATTTTGCAATGGTAATAATTAATAAGATTACATTGCCTAGAAAGTATTCTATGGGGAAAAAAGTTTTTTCTTAAGAACTACATTTCGAAGAAGCAATTCTTACCACTGATTGACAATAAAAATATCTATTTTTGAATTGTTTTTGCTCCCTATTTTATATAGTGGGAAAAAGTTTTATCGATGGGTTTTTTCCAAGCAAACTTCCATTCTAGGAAGTAGAAGAAAAGATCAAGAGAACAGAAAAGAACAAAAAAAAACAACAACATGTGCGTTCGAGCACATTTTTTTTGCATTCCTTCGAAAGGTATAGTGGATCTATGATAACATGTTGCTTAGTGAAAATAATATTCTGAGTCATGATGACAACTTAAAATTGCGACTTAATAAATTATGTATTTTTTTCACCCTAAAGTTATAAATATGCTTATTTTTCGTCGCATCAACAGATAAAAAGTAAATATTGTCTTATGATGCAAAACAGGTAGTTTACAGACGAAAAAAAAAACACAACAAACAATAATATTTTTATATTTATGTGAATGAAAAATTTGAATGAGATGTATTTGAATTAATTTCCTTAGGAAATTTATATATCTTTATTTGTTCATGATTCGATATATAAATGAAAATTGAAAGTGTCAATAAATAAAAACTGAAGGAAAATAATTCAATGATTACTATTAAAATTATTCATTCAAAAACATGATACCCATAATTCAAGAAAATTAATAAGAAAAAATTCCACCTATGTCTTCCTATAAACTAGTAATATCAATTTACTTTTGGATTAGTTTCTATCTTAACTAACAATAATAGAAGAGTTGTTAATCAACTAGAAATCTAATAGTTTCACTATGTACCAACATCTGTAATCAATATTCAAAATAAGAATTATGATGAGTTTATCGTTGTCTAATCAATCATTCTTTGATACAAATACGAATAATACAAAATTTTTTGTGCTAGCAATTGATAGTTAGCTTGGATAGGAAGGTATCTAGAAATGATTTCTTCTGAAGCTGGAAAATTTTTATTCAAGAAATACGTTTCGTTTACAATAGTGGACAAAAGTTTTGTCTTATTCAACCCCAATCAACATATGGACTACAGATATAAAAACTTATCTGGACATGTATATTTTGTCAAGAATGTAGATCAATGTCAAAATTCTGCATCGATGGCTTATGAACAAAGAAAATTATCATGAATAGCACCTGTTGTCCGTTTGTACTCTATAATTCTAGTAAAAAACCGAGTTTTGTAGATTCGATGATAGCTCATTACGTAGTGCTATGTGTCATGTGTCTACACAACTAATTTCATAGAAGTTCATGAATTCTTTTCTAGAACTGTGAAACTTTTCCTATGATCACTAGTGTGAAGAAACATCCTTTGTTGTCCTTTGAGATCAAAATTCAGTATTATTTCAGTGAAAAAAGTTCAAAATTTTAAAAAAGTTTCTTGTACAGTTGAACATTATTGTCCATGAGTTTCAAAAATGAACCTTGCACTAAACAAAAATAACAGAGCTATGACCATCGTATTAATGATTCAGATACACCATTATTCGATCAAATGAGCACATATTTTCGATAAATGAAGATCTTGAACTGAACGCCAGTAACATGGATCATTTCAGACAAAACGAGACATATTTACCTTCCATTTGACTTTGATTCTTTACAAGAGATTTTTCAGAATATATTCTTTTTTGCATAGACGTATGTAAAAATGTTGACTCTTTCAACTGACTATTAATTAAAAAATAATTAGAGAATATCTCTCAAACCATACAAGAGAAAAATCCGAAAACTTCAGGATACACTCCACAGCACAAAGCACATCTATGATAAAATTTTCAGCGTGATCAGACTCCAAAAAAATTTTTCTCTTAAAAACCAGCATTCTAGAGATTTTCTACAGTCGAGAAACAAAAATTTTTGTCTTACCATCATCTAGACATTTTCAAGAAAAATCAAAAATTAGTTATGTATTTGTTTAAAAACTCGTGAAAAGTTTAATTGATAATCTTCTGACAGATTCAAAAAGCTCACTCTAACGGAAAGATGCCATTGATAATAATTCTCTTCCAACACGTATAATAGCTAAGATTTGATAGGGTGAAGACTTTTGTTCACGCGTACATATGTATTATGTCTAACGAAATCGTGACCAATTAAATTCTTGTAGGAAAAGGAGGGTGAAATTATTTCGTGCTGCAATTCCTTGTTTGCTCAATAGCAACCGTCTTTTATAAAAGTTTTAACATGTCTTCAAATATACTTAAGAAAAAAAAACAATGAGATTATTCAAACATTCTTTGAATTCCACGCTCTTCCTTTTTTGAATAGAGTAGAAATAAAATAAACAATACCTCGAATCAAAACAAAAAAATGAAAGCAAATCGCTGATATATTGATATTTATTTTATCGTTGTTGCTGTTTTTTTTTGCGCTCAATCTAGCTCATTACAAAACAAAGAATCTGCCTCTAATCGTGACCATAATAAGTTCGCAAAACATTAGTAATGCCAAAATACATGTCTATCAAGATTTCGTGTATGTAATATATCCCAAATGAAAAAAACCGATATAAAATAAATCTTATTGATTGTTATGCATTTTTCTTCTTTTTATTGGTATGTTTTCCTGTATTTGTCTGTAAATATTGTATTAGAAGTATTTTTATAATAAAGAAATTCTTAACTATACTTTTGAACAAGAACGTGATGTTTCATGATTTGATTTACGTTGATATATGCCATGTAATTCTAAACCAGCATCGGGATCGAATGAGTGTGCACAGCATGGACAATTGACACGGTGATTTGTATTAACTCAAAATACAAAAAAAAAAGACGTTCCTGATAAAACATACCATAGGAAAAACACTCATCTACCTAATGGAATTGCAGTTGATTCTACAAAAAAGAAATTATTCAAATTTATTATATAAAATAAAATATATAGGCAATTAATGATTTACCAATTGCTTTTTTTGATGCTGCTGATGCTTCAGAAATCACCGATGAAATAATTGTTGTTTCTGGATGGGGTTTAAATAAACCATTTGGTAGTTTTGTACATAATGTAAATGCTAACTGTGATTTATCTAATTGATATTTATTAATTAATTCTTTTGGTGTTAACTTTTCTTCATGAATTATGTCTAAACTTCAAAAATTTTTAAAAAAATAAAAAAATTTCTATTGTTAAATTTTACTTTGTATATGAGCAGTTCTGTCATTAAAAAGTATCAATGGTTGAACATAATTAAGTTGATCTAATTTAGATTTTATTAAAACAAGTTGAAGTCTATATATATATATGTATTAAATTAATAACATTATCGAAAACTATTTTTTACCGCATAATAGATTGAGTTTCTCCAGTATTTTCTATTTGTATATAGATCGGATTTTCGTCAGATACATTAATATCATAATGATCTTTTTGAAATTTATATGGACTATAATAATGTCCATGACCTCCAATAAATGTTGTAATTAATGCAACACGAATATAATCATTTTGTATATCATATTGATATTCGGTTGGCAACTAAAGATAATGAGAACAGAATGTTTTCTTAATAAAATTATTACTTGTAATGTTATAAAATGATTAGATGCATTATCAGCAATATAACGTGGTCGTCGAACAGTACCACTTTGTGGAAAATAATCACTTTTATAACGTGCTCGATACGTATTTTCTAATGGATAGGCAAGTTGTAATTGTTTTGAATTTGTAATAGCAACACGATTCGAAAGATGAATTGATGATTCTGATGCTAAATTCGATGAAATAAATATTTCGAAAAAAGAAATGTTTGTTTAAATATGTATTATACGCTTTTCTATATGGGATTGAACAACAGGTAATGATTTATCATGCGATTTATTTATCGTTGATTGTTTCTCATTTTTTGTATCTGTAGGCAAAGATTTATTTTTTTATTGAAGATTAAATCAAAAATAAGAAAACGTACTATATATTGAATTGTCTAATTCAGTTGAATTTAAATTTTCGACAAAGTCTTTTAAATCTTTATATAATTCATTGATATGGTCTATGGGATGAACAGATGTAAACTAATAATATTTATCAATGAAATAAAAAACGATGTTGCATACTCGGCTCTAAATCAAACAAAAATAAAAAGGAAATAAAATCTTTTCTTTTTTGGTTTATAAAAATCAATTGATACCGGGAGAATCAGTTTCAGAAAATGTTTCCAATGGATTGTAATCATAAGCAACACGAAAACCTAAATTTACGGATAAAACATATTAAAGACAAAAAAAAAGACTTTCTCATTCTATTAATTGAAATACTAATTTCTTCGTCGATTGATGGAGATTGAATCAAGTCTGAAGAAATTTAAAAAAATCAATAAAGAAATAGTTATTAAATGAATTATCTATTATATACTATCAAGCGAAGTCAACTCAGTATCTTCAGTTGAATATGAATGGAAATCCATGTCTGAAAAAAATACAATTAATTATAATAAAACTACTATTTTATTATTTGACTTTTTTTACTGCTCTAATGTGTATATATTAGAATCATATTATCAGCTGATGCTTCCAATCAAACTTGGTTTTTATATTATAGAGCCTTTCAAAAAAAAAAAAGAATGGTGAGTAATAAATGCGTGGATATTATTCTTGAATTGATCATAGGACGCATAAAAAAGACGTATGACCTACGTTGTGTTAAGACACAAGCAAAAAAAAGGTTAGCTAAACTTATGTTAAATCGAAAATTTGTGAAGGCCATTGATAAGAGCTGTTTCGTAAGACTACTTAAAAGAGAACCATATATATTTATATCATTATTATACTTTGTCTACTGGTGAAACTATCTTCCATAATGAAGCTTGGAATTTTCCAACTTAATTTTTGCCGACATATTTTTCTTTCGTCATTCTGTCGCATTTGTTTTTTTACATGTTTGTGTCATGCATTACTTTAGCAACTCATATGACACTACAGCAAAAAAAAAACAGCGACAGGTACGATTTAGAAATAAGAAAAATTTGGCGTACTTTGAACGATAAAGAGTACTATCGAACAAATGTACAGAGAACGAAAAAAAAGAAAAATTATACAATCACCATTTGAGATTAATGTATAAATAAGAAAAATAAAATAATAGAATAATTTTATTGAAAAACTTATTTTATGATGAATAATATTTGAGTTAATAATAAAAAATTTGAAGAAAAGAAAGCACTCAATAATTCTTATGATTAAATCATTTCATTCTATGAAAATAAAATACTAAAAAAAAACAATTTCTTGATTAATTAACTGTTGCTACAAAAGTCATGCAAGACAAGTGCGGCATTAGTACGGATGAGGCCATTCGGCAACGGTCATTGTTGATGATCCATGTCGGAATTAATACACTGGTTTGAAACACGTATCACCTAAAATAAACAAATTTATTATTCTATGTATTTTTCAAATAAATTTTTTATGTCAATGAAAATGTATATTTACCGGAAGTCCAATTAACGGTGGTGTTGATGATTTAAATCTTTTCGATGAATTCGAAATTTGCATTTCGAAATTAGACTCTTCTTCTGAAAGACTTTCAGTTGAACATGATGCTGTTCGTTTACTAGATTTTTGTGTCATTATTTCTAAAATTCAAATATACTCGTCATATTGTATTTAGTATTTTAATAAAGAAAACTTACGTTCATGAACAATTTCAGTTTCACATGTAATATTCGAAATAAATATCATATTATCTTCTTTTAAAGCAAGTTGAAAAACCAACTTGTATGATAATAGATCATAATTCTTTTTAAAACACTTTACTTTCGGAACTTTTTCCATGTTGTGATCATTTAAGATTGTATCTATATATAACACAAAAAAAAATATACGTAATAAAAACAAACAAAGAAATTAAATTAAAATACAAACATTTCTCTGTTGTTCCAAACATTGTATTTGTATTAAATGGTGTAAGATCAAACGTATAGTCATTATATTTTTTATATAAAATTGACAGACGTCGAAATCTACGAGTTAAAAAAAAATGTTATTGAAATTCATTTGTTATGTTTTTGATGGTTACTTACTCTTTTTCGCCATTATTTATGTCAGATTGTCTTAAAGGAATAAATATACATCCGTATGCAATTTTTATCATATCTGCTTCACGATAAATAATATCATTAGCATGAACAAATGTTTGATTGTTGGGATTATCTGTACTTGTTACTATCGTCATAATAATTCCCAACGTTTGATTTTTAGCTGATAAAATATGTTGCAAATTTGGTAACTAAAAAATCAATATGGAATAATTCTTTTTTTTTATCAGAAAAGAAAAACAAAACAACAAACATTAATTGACATTGGATGATATCGTGAGTCTGGCAAAAATCGTGAACCATCACATTCATAACGTATACGATTATTTGCCTTCGGTTGTTGTTTAACAAACATGACACTATCAATAATTTCAAATATAAATGGATTCATTTGATACATTAATGCATTTGAATTTTCAATAATTTGTTGGAACATCGGCATATTTATAATATCCAGATTTTGATCTAAAGTTGGATTTGGAATCATCTGCCTATCATCAATAATTGCACGGTTATCTCGTTGTTCATCTATAATAGACATATAAATTATAATTGATTTTGAGAAAAGACTTAAGCAACAAACCTGATGAAAAACGAAAGAGTTCTGATGAAGTATTTCCATTTGTAGTTTCAGGATATGTATCATCGTTACTAATAGATAGTAAGGATGATAAAAAATCATTTGGATTATCATCATTCAATCCTACAGCTAAAAGAATCGCTGGATATGAAATAATACACTGTATTAGATTCAACTTACTATTACTAAATGGAAAACTATTGAAAATACTTGAATAATCTCCGTTTGGGAATAAATCGTCTAGAGAAATATCGTCAATAGAGTCTGTGAAGTTGTCCATTAATTATGGTTACAATAGATATGATGCGTTGTATGCGAAGTTTTACTGAGCAAGAAATGAATTTATACAGGCGAGACTACTCTTAATAATTACATCTCTCGCCCATTGTGGGCAAGTAACGTTTTTTTTTGTATTATTTGCTATGAATCAGATAAAAAATAAATATTGACAGAAAAAGAAGAAAAACAGGCTTGTATAGATGCCGACAGAGTACATTGAAGAAAAATTCAACTCAATAATTTCACAACACCATATTAATAAAATGTATGCGTAATTGAAACTAACTATGAAGCACCATAAGTAAACATTTTTATTTTTATCAGTTTTTTTTCTAACCTTTCAGAGTTTATCAAGTGACAAATGAAGTTAGTAAAATATAAATAAATATTTTTAAAACATACTATTTAACAAAAAAAATTGCGAAAGTCAATGTTTCACTTTGAATTTCGCAATAATAAATAATCTGTATCGAAATTCGTGAGTATTCACGAACTTGAAAACTTTTAGAACAAATCGAGATCTTATTTTATATTTATTTATCAAGTGTTTAGTTAGTTTATATTCGAATTAAAAACTTTTTTGCGAATAAAATCAAAGAAGAATTTATTAAACTCTTCTGAAGTCTCATAAACGTTAAGGATACCTTCCGCCATTTTTTTTTGCTTACTTCTAGTGTTCGGAAAGAATACAACCGATCAGGCTGAAATTTTTACCACGAGCACAACACCTGAAATAACGAGACACCTGTTCGAAGAAAAAACTTTCAAAAAGGATTTTCTATATTGCCATGTTCTGATACATTACGATTCTTCTCTGATTTTGTCCAATCAGGCTGTAATTTTTAATACAGATATTTTGGAAGTATTCTCCAAGGGTAGAAGCAGCCGTTTTGATTTTTGACCTTTGTCTTCTGATTTATAGGATTCTAAAAGCCAAACCTCTGATATCTTCACGATTTTTTTCTCGTAACAAAAAACAAACAGAAAGTGAGATTTTCGTAAAAAGTCAAAACTACCTACAAGATATGGTCTTAAGTATCTTCAAAAAGAAATGTTCGGCCCAATCGGATAAAGTTAGAGAGGAGTTGTAATGTAAAGGACATGAAAATATAGAAAATCCTCTTTGCAATTATTTTCTTCGAATACATGTCTGCTTATTTTAGGTGCTCTATCTGTCGTAAAAATTTCAGATTGATTTGCTGTATCCTTGTCAAGAGGCACAGGACAGAAAGATATATTCTTAAACAAAGACCAAACTTAATGATTTTTTTCAATAAATTTCTATAAAGCACTTGAGTACGATAGAATATGTTTTATAACGAAATTCGTAAAGATCTCTTTAGCTAATGCGAGTCTCATTTGGAGTAAAATACTCGTCTGCTGGATAACACTATTGATAAATTAAGGTTCTAGAGACAAAATCAAAAGCTTGATATTCTTCCTCGCTCTGACAAACATCTTAAGGATTTATCGATCTTATTTTTATTTATCATATTGGACTTCTGCATGATAGTGATTTTTAGAAATTAACAGAGGAGCAGACAGAAGCAGCATGCATATATCGAAGTACAATATAGTATATGTAACAAACAGTGTAGTTACATTGTATTTGCAAGTTCACATTAAAGAACTAAAAAACAATCTACACATATTGTACACACAAAGTGATCCAAAACATTTGGAATCTTTTCAAAAAAATTATCTTTTTTCCTCTCATCTTAAAAATTGAAAAATGTTTAAAGTTTGGTATGTAATTTCTTATAAGTAGATGAATTTTATCGTTTATATTTATACCCCGAACCTGACTAATAAGGAAAGTAAAAAGGTTTATATTTTAAAGAAGTTGTTTACTCATGTTTTAAAAGCAAAAAAAAAAGACTAACATTTTTATTTATAATATATATAATAATTAATTTTCAACGCAAACATAATCATTTTATTTTTTCATGTCGTTAATCTTTCTTTTTTACTATAGAAGTGTATTCAACATAACTCTACTAATATCTTTTTTTATTTTACTGTTCTTATTAAATGCTTTTCTTTTCTAAATTTCATACAAAATTTTAACTATTTTTCATTTATGAGATATGGGTAAAATGTTTGTTACCTGTTACGGGTCGAAAAAATGTCACAAAATGATCCCAAACAAATGATTACAAACTTTTTTTTCTCTTCTATTTATGATCCTTTATACGCAAACAATAAAAGCTTATCGTAACTAAAGTATATACATTCTTAAATTTCAGATTCAGAAAAAAAACATGGATCTGCATCTTTTGTGCACTCACACGCACTTCTTGGAGAAACGTTTGTGCCATCCTATAATATTTTTTCAGCTCATAACACTATTTGTTAGTGTTTGTCTTAGTAAAGAAAAAAAAATCTTTAAACAAGTCTCTATTATTGATAAAAATTTCAGCTCATTCGGTTGACATCTAGCACAGATATTTAAACTTCTTATCACCAAGTTATTTATAGACCACCGTTTATACTTACCATGCGACTCAGCATGGTGAATTACTACTGCCTAACTGCTTTTCTAAGTGATCACGGATCAATTGGCCAAAATTGGTAGTCTCAGGAAAAGTCTTATAATTCTCGAATGGAACATGTTAGGAATGCTGGCCTTGCGTAGATCGATAGAGAAGAACTTTTTCTATTAATTAATCTTTTGAAAAGTTCCTATCAAAAGTTATTCGAAAAAAGACTGAAGCAGATTATATTTTCAAATGGATAGTAGAATCAGTAATTTAAACCAGCCTTTCAAACTACAACGTTTTCACAGAGAAATTAATTGATTATTGGTTAAAATTTTATTTTTATTTAGTTGAATTGAATTCAAGAAAAGAAATTACAAATTGAAAATAAAATCTTTAGAAATATAGAAAATATAATGATTGATCATAGGTTTCTTTTGTTTTACTTTAATTTTTAATAAAAATTCATAGTGATAAAATAAAATTTTTCTTGATTAAAAAGAAAAAGCGAATGAGGCCCTTTAGCAAAAAACATTCATTCATGTCATTTAATGAAAAAAAGAATAAAACATTGTATGAATAATAATAAACAGTTCATTGATGGGAACGTTTCTTTCGTTTAATTGATTTTGATTTTGATGAACTCGGACGTTCATCTAATAATTCATCTTCGTCACTATCATTTGTTTCCGCTGATCGTTTTTTTGTTGTGTTTTTCTGCTCTTCTAAATAAAATAAAAATTATATTTTTAATAATAAAAATTTTCTAATATTACTTACTATCTTCTATACCCTTTGTTTGACATGTAATATTTGTAAAATGCCAGAATTCATTTTGTTTAATTACTAATTGGCAAACGATTCGACTAGCTTTCAAATTAAATTTTTTAAAAATCTTCTTTGCTTCTGGTATCGATATTTTTTCATTTGTATCTAATTTAAGAAAATATATTTATTCAATAAATATATCGTGTCGAAGTTATTTTTAACAACAACTAAATATCAAATAATTATCATTAATTTATTGATAATATTAAAATCAAAATCGAGGTCAAACCAATCGTTAGTGACGTGATGGAGTACGAAAAAAGTGTTCTTATAACCGAATGAGAAGTTCAGAATCAATTCCAAATCGTACAAATCCTTCTTCAGAATCTCTAGATGATGGAAAGACAACAACTTTCGTTTCAGGTCTTAATAGAATCTCTAGAAAACTTGGTTTTTAAGAAGAAGTTTTTTAGAGTCCGATTATGCTAAAAATTTCATCATAGATGCAGCTCATGCCGTAGAGTCTGTTCTTCCAACATTTTTACAAATGTCTATGCTAAAAGACCTTATTCAAAAGTAAATAAATAACCCTCATCAAGAATCAAATTATATTCCATTTGACCTGAAATGACCCATATACACTTATAGTTAATATTTCATTTTAAAAAAACATAGGTATCATTTTTCAACGAATCAGCATAGAAAAAATTATTCAGAAAGATTAAATATCATATTTAGTTAATATCTTTACATGATAAATAGAGCAGTTCTCATATTTTATTAAACTTCGGAAACTTTTTATTTTTCGTCTTTTCTTTTATCAATCTAGATATTCGCTTTAGCATAAAAGAACTTTTTGCTGGATTGTTCATCCTCTCCGGTCACGTGGAAAATCGATTTTTGACTTCAAATTTTGCATGAACAAAGTTGTTAATGAGGTGAATATATCAGGATAGGAGATACTAGAAAAGTTACAAACTTGCTCGATCAATTAATCTCATTAAGAACTTTGTTCATACAAAGTTTGCAATCGAAAGTTTGAGATCTCAAGATATGAGGGCCTGGACAAGCAAAACATTCTAGACTTTTCTCTTACTCACTATTCCTCAATCAAATGAATGTTATCTGAATAGATGTAAAATCATATAAAAATATTAAATAAATATAACGTTTGATTATTCTGAATAATTTCTTGTATGTTGATTTATCAACAAGAAAAAATGACAATTATGTTTTTAAAATGATGATTATTTGATATTTAGCTGTTCTGAAGTAACTTCAACACGATATATGTATATATATATATAGAATACAAAAATAGTACGTACTTTCGTATGATTCATTGTTGATTCTTGTTAGATTAAATGGAATTAATCTAGACATATAATTATTTAATGTTGTTTTGATTATTGATAAACATGGAAGTCTGAATAACAGATAAAACTAAGAAAATTTTAATGAAAAATAAAAATTCTTACGCTTTTTTTCCTTCTTCGATATCCGTTAAAGTCAATGGAATACAAATAGTTTTATCATCAAGTTCATGTATATCATCAGAATGATATTTTAATTGATTAACATGAAGATATACTTCATCTAATGGATTTTCACTATATGTAGTCAAAATTAGACGAAGCCAGAATAATTGATTTGAATTTAATTTTATGCCTTTTAAATCTGGTAACTGAAACAACACAAATTTATATCTTAACTAAAAGACAAAGAAAATTAACATACCTTAATAACCATAGGTTTTGTACGAGATTTTTCTATGTAATGTTTTGTATCACTTTTATAACGATAACGAAACTTAGCTGGTGGTGGAGTTTCAATAAGCATTGTTCGTTGTTCAATAGAATTATCGATAAATTGTAGATTGAAATCATCAAAAGGTTGTTTGATGAGATTTTTGATGTCATCAGATATCTTTAAAAACAACAAAGATATTTTCAAATAAGATTTCAATATTTATATAAAATTAATTACGAACTAGATTTTCATATTCATTTGAATTCAATTCTGATGATGCATTATTAACCATACAATAATTATTATTGTTTTCAGTGTCTAACAAGAAAATATTTAAAAAATCAAATTTATGATAGCAAAAACAAAAAAAATTCTAACGTACTGGTAGTAGTCGTTGTAATTGTCACTTCATTGATTGGATCTATAATTTAATCACAAATATCTATTTTTAAGAGTATAAAAAGAAAATACCTCCACAAATATCTTCTAATTGATAATCGGGAAATAATGATTCATCAAGATAATAAGAAGGTGTGAGTAATGATGCTGCATCCGAATCGAAATTTTTATCGCTGAGTTCATCAACATTACGTGTGATTAATAATTCATCTAGTAGCCACAGAAAATAACTATCGACATCAATATTGTGTTCATTATTTGTCACTTGAGAAGTGGAACGTAATGATAGTCCTGCATCAAGATCATTGAATTCATTGTCATTGTATGCATAATGAAAAACTAAAAATAACATGAAAAAGATAAAATAATTATTATTTTAAAGTTTTAACGTACTGTTGTCATCTGGTTGATAAGTCATATTTGTTGACTATTTTTAATCTGAAATGAATAAAAACAACTGATATTTTTCTTCCTTCGATAACTTACAAAAAAAAATATATAACACATCAAAAGACAACTGTTTTTTATAGTCATTAGATGTTTGTTTTTTTATAATTGTAAAAAAAAAAGGATTGGTACAAAAAAGATCTTATAGTGTTTGAATGAAGAGCATAGGTGTCTCACACGCATTGAAAAATATTTTAATTATGTACAACAGACTCTTACTCACATTATCGAATTTTATTTGCTGTATTGAATAAAAAAAAATGATGAGAAAACAACAAGCAACAATGATTAAATACTCTCGTCAGAAGCATCCAGAAGAACAGGAAAAAATGGCAGAAAAAGAATGAATACTGTTACTGTTGGAAATTTCCAACTGCAATAATATGCAGAAGAAAGATGTCTGCAATGATTCACATTGATTCCGCGATTGTCTATAGAAGCATACAAAGGGTTTTAGAAATTCAAATGAAAAATAAACATGAAAATCTCTTGAATAAAATTTAAAAAATAAATTTGCATAATTTTGCAAACATTTAATCCTATGTTCTTTAAAGATTTATTCAGCATACTTAAGATAAAATGTCTGAATTTATTAACATCATACTCAGAATAATTCTATAGACGATCAAATTTAAGTTACGTATGTTTGTAACATGAAAACAGCCATTTCAACTTTACAAAAAATATAGCTACATGAAAGTTATCTTATAATTCTTTTATGAAACTGATCTTATAATAAAATGAACATATTATAGAAGCTCGAAAATAAGAACATATGAAATGAGTGGAGCCAAACAGTTGCTCGCGAAAGAGTATAGTAAATTTCTGTTTCCAGGGAATTCAAATTTTTGTGCATTATGTGTATTGGACTTTGCATAGCTTGCATCTATTCTATGGGAATACATGAAACACATCGTTTGGAAAATGCTTACTAACAATCAAGTTGACATGAAAGATGAGTTCCGATAGTTGAACCTTTGTTGATAATTAAGTAAGACACAAAATTAATATCAGATCGCTTATTTCAATAAGAAAAAATTGCATGTAAACATGTGAAATTTTATGGTATTAATGCTTCGCTAGTGCTTACCTTCATAGCTAAGAGAATCATCTTTATAGAGACGAACAAGTGTTTAATTAATTATAATTTCATTTGTTTATTGAGCCTTGTCTCATTCTATTATTGTTATAAAATGTCAATTGTAAAATATTCAAAAAACAAGAATGAATTTCTGCTTGATAATTTTCGTTATCAATACATCAATAAATCTCAATCGATGTGTCGTTATTATTTAAATAAATGTACTGGTTGTATGTATTTTGATCATACGCAATATGTTAAAGTAATAGATCATATTTATATACTGAATCCCGAAGAAACAATTTCAATGCAATTCAAATGAAAGATTCAAATAAAATTAAGTTATGGATAATGCAAATCTCGAATGGAAATAATTCTACTTTTATTTTTAGATCGTTCGATAGAGTCTAATGTATTGATGATCAATGTGTAGATTTCAAATTTTTTCTATTGTCATTCAGAAGAGAAAATTTGGAAGTTCTCGAAAAGTGTTAAAATACACAAAAATTATTCATATGAGAAAAATTCAAAATTTTTACCATTTTTATTGCGAAAATTTTTAAAGTTAAATTTTTTTCTTATTCACTATGTAAAACTAAGAAGAACAGTCATATTTTATCGATTTTAAAGTCAAATATCTGTTCGGTATGGTTGTGTCGAACTCCACATACATCGCAACGTACTGACACACTTCCTGATGGACGTCCTTGTTTGAACGACTCTTTCACTAGGATTCTAACAGACGTTGTGATGCGTGATTTCCCTACAAAAGTCAGCTAGTACAAAAGTTTACAAATTCATCTAACTTTTTGCACTAAGAAAGATGAAGTCAAAACAGACTTTAACAAAATTCAATTAATTTAAAACCTTGATGACGTTCGTGAGCAAAATAGAAATGTTCGGTTAAAAGTGCACAACCTTGCAGAGACTCATCCTAAGTTCAGCCATTTTGATCGCCAGACTGCCAGAAAAGAGCAAAATGAACATCATATTCGAATTCACCTTAAAAAAACTGCATCAAGCTGAATAAATTTCATCGGAAAATGTTTTTCACCAGAAATTCGACTGTGCGTCCTGGAGGTTACATTTTCGAAAAATTTTATCTGGGGGTTCACTCGAGGTAAATTTCTGATGGAAAAAGATTTTCAATAAAATGTATGTAACTCGATGCACTTATTTTATAAAACACGATACAAAAGGAATATTGATGTATATAGGGTAGAAATTTGGACCCATTCTTCCGCCCTCCCTCTCACAGATCGTGATAGACACTTTAGGATTCTGTCATCTGCCGTACAAGATGTTCTTGATTCACGATCAAACAACACAGACTAAGATCGTCTTATTGTAATGTATGAATTACATGCTGATTCCAGTTTTGGAGTAATAAATAAAAGGATGTTTTCTAAATGTGTCGCAAAATACATAGATTAAAATAAGCTCCTAGTGAAAACCAAGAACAGCTGCATCGTTTTTCACATTTTAACTCCACAGGGAGTGTGCTAACAGCTTTTAAGTTGATTTCAAATATGACGTTCATTTTGATCTTTTCTAGTATTCTGATGATCATCATGGCTGAATTCAAAATGAATTTCTACAGGATTTTGCTCTTTAGACAAAAAATTTCTATTTTCTCGTGGATGTCACCTAATTTTTCAAAACGAAATGAATATTGTTAAAGCTCACATTCGAAACGTTATAATGAAGTAAGACACTTGACTTCATTTCTTTTCGTACAAACAACTAGCAAGATTTACAATGCCGGATATTAGTAGATCTTAGTAGGAATGTTCGACACAAGCATATTGGATAGACCTTTGACTTTAAAGGCGATAAAATATGACTCTCTTATACTCAGTTTTAGAAGATGAATAAGAAAACGATATAGTTTGGAAAATTTCGTCAATAAAAATAGTAAAAAATTTGAATATTTCTCGAATGAGCCATTGTTGTCTGTTTTAACATCTTTTGAGTATTTCCGAATTTTCTCTCCTAAAAGACGATATAAAAAGTCTGAAACTTACATATTCATGATTAACGCAACAGACTCTATTCAACAATGTATGAATAAAACCAATATCATTTCACTCAAGCTTTACATTGTTCACATCATAATTTCTTGTATTTCTTAATATATCAGGCTTATCTGTCCGTGTACCAACGATTAGAACTAGTTAATATTTAGAAATGACAAAATAATTTCAAAGGAAAATCTATGTCATGTTTTTTTCGTCTAAATATTTGAAATAGTGGACTTGCTTGTTGTACCTCCATGAAATCATTTTGAACATTGGCTACAAATAAAATTACACAAAACAAAACTTTATCCAGCATCCCATGAAATCATAGAAAACCACGGATAAATCGTTTGGATTGTTTTAGAATTATTTATGCTTCTTTTTTTCTTCGAACTTTTGAGACATTCTACAGTTGAAAAACTAAATGAAATATAAATTGGGAATAGATATCGATATTTCAAATAAAATTTATCTTGCCGCATAGACGTATATAGAGGGGAAAATTACATTTATATAATTATTTATTTTATCAAAATAAAAGCTCTAATAATTCAATAAATATATTAAACACTTTTTTTGCATCACTATTTAACATATGCATTGTTTTCGTCAATAACTAGTGGTACATTGACAGAGCCCATCAATTCTATTCGATTAAAGATCTGATTAACTGAGTATTCATATAGTTTTTTTTTCTGGTTAAATTTTTTGTTTTTTGTATACTATCTTCGATTTAGTTGTATTCATTTTATGAGATTTGTCTATTTGTCGTTGTCCATTTGCTATAAAAAGCACTTATATATAACTTTTTATTGTAAACAACGAAAAATTTTACCTTCTGTTTCATGTATAGATTCTGTTTGACAAAAACAATCAGTAAGATATGCAATATTATTTTGATCAACTCGAACAAGTTGAAAGTTCAAAATTGATTGTCGAAGTCTATATTCATCTCTTGTACATTTTGGTGTTGTCATATCTATCGAATGTAGATCTAAAATTTAAATAGATAAGCAATTGATTTATTTAGTTTCTTACCGAAAAAATTAAGTTGAGTTCGTGAATAAATTCCTAATGTATTTATTTGAGCTAAATCATCTTGTTTAAGTCTAATTAATGCTAAAGTATCCATTCTAGAAGAAGAAGAAGAAGAAGAAGAAAAAAGGTAATCAATGTAATATTTTCATAGAAAAATTTACTCAATAAAACCATTTTCCATATCTCTATTAGTTATTTGAATATAAATTGAACCTTTATGAATTCGAGCATTTTTATCTTTTATCCATGTTGGATATGGATGGTAAAAAATAAGATTATCTTTTCGATGATCAATTGTTGTACGTGCTATACGCATCCAAATAGCATCATCAGCAGTAAGCGTATCACGAAGATCAGGAATCTATTTAAATTAAAAATAATAATACAAAAACAATTTTTTTTTGTCATCTACTTCTATCGTCATAGTCCTTTTATTTGGAATAGAAAGATAACGAAGTATTTTTTCACATTCATTTTCATATCGAACACGTTGATTAGAACAAGGTGGAATAAGAATTGTCATTGTTCGACCAGTATGAATAAATTTATCGCTATCGATAAATGTTGATTTTTTAAAACTATTTACTGATAATTTTACAATATCTTTTTTATTCATATTAAAATTTGAAATATCTATTGTATTTATTGATTTTGAAAATTGTTCAGTAAATACTTCATCAGAATTAATTAAAGCCTCCCATTTGTTTTCATCGAAACCTACATCTTCTGCAGAAATTTTATTCCAATCTAAAACAAATTTTATTTCAAAAAAAAATATCTTCTTTTTAATCTATTACCGTGTGCCATCAATATTAATTGATAATATATTCCAATAATGATAATAATAAAATTTTGTATAATATTTAAAACTATGTAATATATTGAGTTCGATGTGTAGGAGTAATATAGCCAATAACAAAACAGAATATAATAATAAAAAAAAAGAGAGAAGATGTTTTCAAGTTTACTTGGCCTCTTTTTCTTCTGTTGATAGGTGTTATTCTTTCATTCCCTCAATCGAAAATATTTTTCTCTAGTGAACTCAAAGTTTAAACAATCAAAACCTTCGTGAAATAATCTACTCTACAGATCTGTAAACATGTACATGTTTTCAAGGTCATGTAAATCATATGTACGGTTCTCTTTTTCTTTTTAATGAAAGATGAGATTTGAAAAATAAATTCATCATTCATAGTTATTTCAATATAAGTTGTGATGAGGAATTTCTTTTTTCAATACATTAATATTATATGAGTTGAAGGCTTTTATTTGCACTAGCATAGACGAAATAGCTTCAGTCAGATTATATTTATTTTAAAAAAAATGTGAAGGACAGAAAAACAAGAGAATATCACATGGCAAGAAAAGGATCATTTTTCGTCTATCATCAATGCCGGTAAATAAGTCATGTCGACGATTCTATTTCTTTTAAATGATATGATTTTATAAATTCAAATATTCTACTTAGAAATAATCATGATTAATTATTTAGCTAGACAAGAATTATAATGTTTCATTTTTATTTATTAAATATCTAATTCGATATTTATTTTGTCTTATATAATAGTTAACACACGTGACATCAATCTTATTTAGGGATAGACAAAATCAGCTTTTTTTTTTGTAATCGAAATCGGATCAACAGTTTTTTGTAATTATATCGGAATCTGAAGTATGAATTTTTTTTGGTATCGAAATCGTCCATCCCTGATTATGTTAGACAGATAAATCAATTATAATCATTTAAGTGATAATTAATATTTTATAATTATAAAATATAATATATTTTTAATCTTCTTGTTCATATTAAAATCATTTTCAAACTATATTTTAAATTTCAATTTTCTATAGACTCCGCCCACATGTTTTTTTAACATGTAATACTTTCTTGATAACACATGAGTCAACATGATTCATTATTTATTTCCCTGGATAAGAGTCATGATCAACATGAATATTGGGATTGATGAATAACAATATATTAAGTTTTCTGTGAATTTTCTATTTATTAATGTCTTTGACATTAGATTTTTTTTTGTATAATAACTTATTGAAATATCCCTACCTCAACTCTTTTGAGTAAAGGGAAAGAAAATGAAAAGTGGTTATTATAGAAGAAAAATTCAAAGTTGTTATCGTCTGTGTTTTTTTTTCTTCCTACATAGTGATTCAAGTAATATGAATCATTCATTCTTTATTAATATACTTGAAGTTTCAAAGAACAGAACAAGTATATATTTCTTCAAAAAATTTTTTATTTTTCGTAAAAAAAACAGAAGAATAGTTGCTATGTCAAAATTAAAAACATTTTTTTGTATTATAGAAAAAAGCTTTATTCGACCTTTGAAAAACGATTCGCATGGTATAGAATACTTTGCCATCAGGCAAGGTTATTTTTCACTTTTTACATCATGATCTATTCAAATGAAAATTATAAGTTTAGATTAATAATTTACATAATAAAACAGATCCTGATCGTACTGAGAAAAATCAGCTTCATCTAAAGACATATCCAATGTTGAAGATAATTCATCACTGTCTGATGAGTCGAAAGATTCTAACATAGCATCAATATCACAATTCGAACATCGATCACCTAAAGAAAAATTTTTATATTTCCTATGATAAAAAACAAAGTTATTTACATGATTGATATAGAAAATTAACACGTGCAATTTCTTCACCACTTTGACTAACAACTATTGGAATTTCTATATTTTGATTTCCAAATGCTTGTATAGGACATGGTGGAGTTGTAAATGCAATTGTTTTCATATCAACAAATTCGATATTAATCTGACTTTTCTCATTTGATGACGAACCTTCAAAATATACTTGACATGCTAGAAAAGAAAAAATAAAAGATTTATTTGAACAATAATAAACAAAAAAGAATAATAATCAATTACTTTTTCTTTTATCAAGTTTTGGAATAACCATTAAAATATTATCACCACCACTCCAACGACCTTTCTTTGGTACACATCTAACAAATGATTCGGGATTTTTTATATGTGTTGCTATAATAGCAGTCATTATATGAGAAAGTACAGATGTGACGTCATAGATAATTGGTAATAGATCATCCTGAACTAGTTGAGCCATAGAAAAAAGTAATTGCGATTTTCCTAATTGATAAATATCGATTATTCTTCGAACATCATGCGGATTATCTGTACGTGGAAAATCTTTTTCATCTATACAATAGAAACAAATTATTTAATAAGACTTTTTTTATTTAAATTTATTTCATTACCTTCCTTCAAAAGACGCAATTGTCCATAATTTCTTAAGTCAGGTAGAGTTAATTTTCTACGAGTAATTCGAAAACTAAAATCGACAAAATAATCAAGGAAATTATTTAGAAAGCGTTTTTATTTATTCATTTTACCTCTTGCGACCATTCGTTAACTCTTCCTCTGATATTGGAAAATAAAGTGTATTTCTTACTGCATCTTTTATAACATTTAATTCTGAAGTATCAATTGGATAAGGATGTATGCATGTTACAGGCACTTGTTCGCTGGGTACAGTGACTAAAGTTACACGAATATATAAACTTTGACTATCCCAGTGGTTCGGTATCTAGTTAACAATCATGTTAGAAATAAATGAACAGAAAAATAGATTTTATATTTTATTTACTTCTACTGTTGGATAGTCTAAATGATACGGATTAGTTTCAGCACGAATAAAACGTTGTGCTTGGTTACGAGTACGATCTATTTCACATAAATATCTTTCACGATGTGATACTTTTGGTTGAGCAATTATATGAAGTGGTAAATTCAATTGAGCCATCGATTCAGATCAAAATTGTAGTCTAGACTGTACTGAGCATGCTATTATATAAAGGTCGAACATCTAAAAATAACACAGTCTTCTAGAAGAGAGATTCTATTTCTCTCCCAGGAAGTCGCAATATCAAAACATGACTATCGTCTAGGAATAAACCGAATCGTCATTCTTTCCTTCTTGATAAAATATTAAAATACTCCCACTTACATTAGTAATAATGATTTCTTAAGTCTATGATAAACTTATTAGTAATTGAGTATAATTATAAGATGTCATGATTTATTTATACTAGAAAGGAAAAATCCAAAATTTCATACTGAAATATAGTGAATTGTGAAATTTTTATTTTTTTTTGCTTTGGTTTCTACAGGTACCCTTCGAATTTTTTTCTTGTTAATACAGAACGATAAGGTTATATGTAGTAGTAAATAAGCAACACATGAATATTTGGTCACAACTTTCTTACATATTGTAGGAAGAGATCTTTTCTTTAAATGCAAAATGCAGGTTTACAATCAACAGCAATGAACCTTTGCCAATAACAATTAATATTGACAGTAAGAACTTTTATTTTCAAATTCCAAAAACAACCGCATTTCTAATCGATATGAGGATAAGCTAGTGAGAAGAACGACCCTGTCTGTTGATGAAAACATACATGTTACTTAGTTCGATGTATATTTAGTAATTGATTCATATCAATTAACTTTATATAAATATGCATAACGAAAAAAAATTATTTGCTATGTCAGTTACGAAGAAAAATTCCCATATGTTTCGATTGGTTTTGAATCCGAACTTAGCATATATGAACTACACTACTCGCAAAAAGTATCTTCTCATTCGGATCTTAGTTCCTATGAGAGTTAAACGTTTGAAAATTCTAAAGTGTTTTATGTAACCTAGTCCAAATAAGATCTTTATATGGACAAGATTTCAAGTCAAAAATTGAAAATGTATGATCAAACAAACTAAATTCACTAAAAGCATTTCATTTTCTCAGATATAAACTATTGGCACGAACTCATTTTGTTTTGCAGACATGATTCACTAAGATCTATAAGATACACTAAATACCAGTTCAAAAGTAAATAGATATTTGAAGATGTTTCCTCGATAACTGAAAATATGTAATAGGCAATGGTGAAGAGTTTCTTTAAAAAAGAAACGAGATATGTCTACACCATATTACGATTCTGTTACGAAATGAAAGTAATAACAAGGAAAAATTTTATGAGTGTTTGTTGATTTCTCATATGGCTGTTGTGACACTAAAAAATAATATTAATTATATTTCTCTTCATTTAAAATTAAATTAAAAAACGAACAACTTACATCCTTTTTCGAAAAAACAACACAACTCGTCAAGAAATAGAAAAAAACAAGTTTACATTTCTTTAGATTGATGTGAGTTTTGAAGATTGCTTGTGAAAAACAAGTAGATCTTGATGGATATAAAAGTTTTACATAGTATAAATTGAGATTATCAATTTATGCGAATTTAATCGATCCTGTTGTGAAAGTATGAGAACTTCTTAAGTGGCTAACTCTGACAATCGAAAAAGATGAATGTGTGATCGAATGTTGTCTATGGTAAAATCTTCACCTCGTATTGACACAGACGCAACGTTACACTCTATAACTTTAAACAAGGTAGTAAAAAAACAGCAAGCATGAAGAGAGGGAAAAATAACTCAGCTGACAAGAAAAACAGTAAAAACAACACCTGCATCTCATAAAGGAGACAACACAAAAAAAAATCAATATAACATGAAAGAGAAAAAAGCAAAAGGAAAGAAAGAAAATGCAATATGACAGAAGCAGTCAATTACCGTACCTCAACATTTGACTTGAGTGGATTAGATCAAGTTGCTGTGATTTTGATCCAAAAATTTTGAGTTTGATATATGTCTAGAAAGAAGGATGAAGTGGAGTTTAAACATTATAAACTAGGTTTTGGTCACTCTGTGATACATATATATATATAAATCTAATTATATTTTATTTTAATATCTTCAATAGTGATAGAAGACCTCAAATCTATTTTTGAATATTTTTTTACCAAATGATTGCAAGTTTTCAAGAAGAACAGAATTATTTGTGATTAACCATCCGTTTTCGTCACTGAGAAAATTGATTGATATCATTCTATTATAATATTTAACTCTAAACAACCATAAATATATGTACAAATAAACAAAAAAAACCTATCTAAATTATTCAAACGATTAAAATGATTTCATAAAAAGAATAAATAAACTATAAAAACGATAATTATACAATTAAAAATATTAGAAAACGAAAGTTTTGCAACAACACTATTTTATTTTATTTGACATTGAAACAATAAAAGAGGTGATCTTTTTAAATTTTTTGCCAATTTTAAATCAAAAATAGATCCAAAAAACAATTATTGAAAAAAGTCTGGTTTTCAATGTCTTGTGTTTTGATCTTAAATATTTTCTTATAATTCAAGCATGTAAGTAGAACTTGGTGGTTAAAAGAAGATTATTCGTACATTGAAAAGGATGGAGTCTACCATCATAATTATAAAAAAAGTGATTTTTTTCAATTTTTCCAATTATTTTGATTTTTCTGACGTTTTTGGTTAGATTGATTTTTTTTATGTAAAATTGATAGAAAATTTTTAAAAATGAAGTGTTTACTCTCAAGTTTTTAATCGAAAAAAGTCTGATTTCAGTTCTTTCCCTCTAGGAATGAGCTCGATATATTCGTCTAACATTTGATATGATATTTGCAAGAATTTTAGACACTAGGAAAGAGAAAGAGAGAGAGAAAAAGAAAAGAAATTATCAATCGAACAAAAATCTAACAATAGAACAAACGAAACGCGAACATATGTATATATAAAAGCGTATTGGACAAGAACCAAGTATGACATAAACGAATTTATTAGAAAAATTTAACATAAGAGATATGACGATACTCAAGAACAAAATTCAAGATTTCATCTTGAAATAACTCAACATACGATGAACGGATATATCCAACACCTGTGCATATCTTATCCAATGAGACAAACAACAAGAAAATAAGTCATAAAAAGTGCGCATTTTAATGCGTTAAAAGTTTTGAACCAGAGATCGAAATAAATAAGAAAATCTCGATTCGGTTCAAATCAAAAACAACAACAATTCCTTCATTGTCATAAGTAAAATACATCTATATCTCGCATAAAATTTTGCTTAGGGTTTTCGTATACCTATATGCTAAATCAATTGATTTCAGAGTAGTTTGGAAGCTTCAAAGTGGAGCTACAGTACAAATTAGGGCTTGGGTATTATAAAAAAAAAGTTTTGTTTTTGATCGATCAGTGGAAGCAGTAGCTTCTGAACTTGCATAATTAACATCGATATAATTATCTTCGTCTTAGAGAAAGAAACACATATAGTAGGAAAAGGAGTAAACCAACTTCTATTTTCAGTCATCCTCTATCTCAATGTCCTGATCTCAACTAAAGTTAGTAATCCGTCATCTAGTTTGGATCAATTATATAGTTTTTTAAATAGAAAATTTCAATATTTAGCTTTCATTCAAGTATTCCAAAGTCAGTTGTCATCCCAGTTAGAGAATCAGAATATGTGTTGTTAAGTTGAATAATTCGATTCAGTTTCGGTATTTTTTTCGAATGAATATGTATTCGTTCGAGATTTTTAACACGTTCAAGTTTAGAATTGAGTATGTCTCTATAGAGAATAATCATATTTCATAGATTTCAGTTGCTTGAAGTATGATTTAGATGAATTCTTAGTTATATGAATTTTGTTACTATCTTGTAATAAATGACTTATTAGTTTAATTTTGATTCATAGGAACCTATATCAAATTTAAAATTCTGTTGAGTTTTTAATTCGATATGTGTTCTTACAGATCGAACTCAAATTAATCAATCATTTGTGACAAGATTGACTTCTTATAAGAATTCATCTGAATCATACTTCAAGCAACTTAAATCTAAAGAATATGATTGTTTTCTCTATGGATAGATTTAGTTCATAAACCGAATGTTTAGTAACATGTAAAGATATACAATAATAAGTATTCTTCCTTTACAAAACTCATCTAACTACTGTATATTCTCTGAAAATAACATATCTAAAATTGTTTCATAGAGTCCGAGCCATTTTAAGTCTTTTTTTTGTATTTTTCGAATATATAAATCTGGGCAGACATAGGAAATATGCATTTGTAACATTTGAACTATCATTCAAAATTTACTCTATTGAAGTGACATCATTATTAAGAATGTGCGTTATTAGAAAACATGCTAAAATACATTGGCTAGTATTTATTTGAGCAATAATTAAAATACGATTTAGCAATAATTTTTAAGCAATAAAAAAACTTTATTTGAGCAATTTTATATTATTAAATGTACAATAATTAATTCATTAAATAGCAGTAGTAGTTTCATATTTTAGCAATAAAAAAAAAGAAAAACTACATTATTTTTAGTTACAATTTCATTGTCACTATCAGAAATATATTGCGCTACGCGTTGTGATTGAGCCATTTATATAAAAATTATATATTTTATTTTATAAAATTGAAAAAATACGTATTTGTATAAATAAATGTGTTAGATCCGTAAAACGTTGTTGTGTATATACTGTTTACATTTATTTCCGAAAACTAAGAGCCTCCCTATTATCACACACACGTAGATATATATATATATCTGAGATGACGGAATATACCAGGAATAGACATGATACAAATGGAATATACCTGAATGATCACATGAAAGGAAGAAATGAAGAATCCAAGAGAAAGTAGTATGGAAATACACCTGACAGAAAGAAAGAGACAGAGAATGAACACACACATGTATAATACAACACAACTTTCTCTTATAGCAGATCTTTGAAATATGTCATAACAAAATAAATCCATATTGCCCTTTTTATATAAAATTTACCTTTAATTTAAATAAATTATTGTTCATTCAGTATAATTATTACTCATTTAAATTATTTTATTGC